AAAGGAGTCCACGCAAATCCTCTCCCAGGAAAAGAAGGAAAGGACGGAGATGGGAAAATAAAAGAACTATTCACATTGGTATGCCAGGGGCTTTGAAGATGAACTTGAAGAACATCCCTCAAAAGAACTTCCTCTTACTGTTTGGTTGTTCACTTTTAAAACGAGGCCCGTCTTTTTCTTCTGAAGTCAGTCCAAGTCAAATTTCAGAAGCCAATCCAGAAGGCACTGGGGCTGTTTTAGTCTGATGTGTCGACATCAGTGCTTCTTTATGAATTAGCGCAGATTTTCTTGTTGGAATGTGGTCTACAGAACAGGCTCGTAAAAATCATTCAACATATTGCTATGCAGTTTCTAGGGTGTTCTCAATGTAGGTGTAGGTCTATGATCATTTTTTACCTTTTTTTTTTTTTTGTCCTCCTGGTCATTTCCAGAAACTTTTTTTAAGTATGTGAACGCAGATGCTACTAGCCTACCTACGTTACTTTTACATTTTTCTTTTCAGGTCATCTACTGTTATCACAGAGAAATGTTTTTTTTCCCAGTGCTTTGTTCAAAAGCCCTTCATTCTTTTTAATGATCTTTTCAAAAGCTGATACCCTGATGTATTTTGCAGCATGTAAGCAAATATCAAAGAGGCATGCAAGGGAAAAGAATGGAAAAAGGGCACTCAGCACTACACCGCATGGAGCATTCATTTGATTAAATAGTCACCGGCCCTGAAGGGATTGAGCCAGTTGGGTTGAAAGCTACCTGCTAACAGTTTAACTTGAAGGGATTTGCTTCATCTGACACTACACAAGGCCTGTTTGTCATCCTGCTCGACTATTTGTCTAGCTGTCCATCTCTAACAATTAGGCTGTCTGAAGAAACCTTTGATTTTTCAGGGCAGACTGAGGCGGCTGACAGGTGATTCTCGGTCAGGCTTTGATTAAGGGTCTTGTTCATTTGGCAGCCTGTCGATTTTCATCCAACGCACTGGCACGGCTCAAGGAGGCTCGAACAATGTTTATTCGGAACAGAAAATAGATAATTCCTCTGGATTTATTTTTAACTTATTGCCTTGGCGAACGTCTTGCATTCATAAAGAAATGCATCATCTCTTGATCTGAACTGGAATTATGGTAGATTCAGTTTGCTCATGCACACACAAGATCCGCCTCTGTTAGTCTCTCTTCCTGGCTACGTTCAGAATGCAATACTAAGAATGCTTACTAAGCAGTATACACTGTATACCAGGGGGTATTCAATTAATTCCAAGAGGTACGGTCTATATCTTTCCTTCCCAGTGGAGGTCCGGACAATACTTTTTTGGAGGAGCTATACATTTCCATCAGGGCAGCCGTAGTACTTTGTAAAAGAAAAAATCCTAAACACTCAAAATAGTCCTCAAAGATGAGAATCCAGAGCCCCTAGAGCCAAAGTAGATGTCTAATAATTTTTACCAATATTTATCTTTAATTTTTAAAATAACTCCAAAATCATACCCTTGAGTGGGAGTAAATTAAGCGTGATCTGCTGTAACGTCACAATCGTGTTGCATTGTGGTCTATAAATCTGCCTGAAGTGTACATATCGAGTAGACTCGCTCCCTCTGTAAAAATCGAGGGTCTGTCAAAATAAACTTCCCTTGTCCACTTGACGAAGTTAAACGCACTTCAAAATGGCGGATTCTCCCAAGGGGACGTACTCATGTCTAAAAGTGGAGTTAAACTCAGCCATAGTTACCTGTTGATATGTTTATAGTTCTGACTAATATCATCCAGTTAATGGGACTGACATTTAAAGAAAACTCTATCGCCCCCTAGAGTACTGGAGCTTGCTAATGCCACAGAAATGCAAGAACGTAAATGTACAGGACTTCACTGTTTAATTTGCGTATGTGTAGTTGTGTAGAATATGTTCTCAACGAGCATAGATGTGAAAATTTGTAGTATTGTGCTAAAACTATGCAGTTGCATTGTGAGATACAGTAATCTATCCAGCATGCTTAGGTCGTTTTTTCTTTCTCACTATATTAGTTTCTTTTCATATGTGTTTAGTTAATGTGCAAAGCAAGATCCCAGCTGTAATGTAAGTGTGCATACATGTATGGTTGTGTGGTCACATTGTCGGCGCAGACTCTTCCTTTGTGTGCCAGAGCGGGAAGAAAAGCTTCATCTGTCTTGTGTCGCGTGGTCCCTCGTCAGTACACATTGATATACAGGCCACACTCCCGTGCTGCTCACGGACTGCAATGAAGGGCCCGGGATTTGATGCATAATGACACTGAAGGCTCTTTAACACCACAAAATGCAGAGCGACATGCAGAATATGATCTTGGGATCTCGCCGCTTGTTGATGTACAAGCGTAAACATTTCAAAACAGGCTCATTACATGCGTGCATGTGATATAATGCAGCTGAGCACGTTTGAAACCTGGCCTCTGAGAGCCTGACTCTGACGATAAGAGACTTTATTTGTACAATTGTGTTATTTTTTATCTAGCTACACACACTTCCATGCGTGTTATTTCACTATTTATATATTATTAAAGTATTAATTAATAATTTGCCTTAGCTTTTATTCTTTATATAATTTATTTTCACTTTAATTTAAGTTTTAGTTATGTGATTTTTACTTAGTTATATTTGTTTTATGTTTTATGTTTTATTTGTACTAATTTTAGTACTTTAACATTTCAAAGTTTTCCGTGTTTTATATATATATATATATATTTATAATTATATATACAGTCAAACCAAAATGTATTCAGACACCTTCAACATGTCTCACATTATCACAGTTTAGTCGCTATAGTTTAGAAAATAGTTATAAAATATGACAAGAATTCAGAGTTATCAAATCAGTTTGGGTTTTTTTTGGCCATCCTTCTGTTAGAAAGGAATTAGGTTGAATATCTGTCAGCTGTTAAATTAGCCCACAATTAGATCATACCATTTTAGGTCAACCAATTACCAAGCAATGCTTAATTTTGTTCAGTCTGTGGTGTAAAAAGGTTGTATTAGCAATTAAAGAAAAAATACGCAAGCAAAACATGGTCAGGTCAAAGTGTCTGAATACATTTTGGTCTCAATTTTTTTTAATACATTTTACTGGTAGTCCACTGTATGAAGAATATTTGGTTATTATACTGTATGTCACAGACAGTTTACTTTATTTAGCTATCCTCACTTACGTAAATGAACTATAGTGTCCTGCACCCACTAAAAAAAATATCAAAAATTGCATCTGGTGTCTGAATAATTTTTGGTTTGACTGTATATATAATTTTGTTTCAGTGTTTTTTCAATAAAAAAAAAAATTGGCTTTAGTTAACAATAACAACATTGACAGACACATTATAAAAACATTAATTTATTGTCAATGATTCAAAGTAGCAATGCTTGGACAAAGGCTTGTGTAAAATAATCTGAGTGGTCCTGTACGTCGTCTTCTTACCATACCTTTTATTTCTATAAATTAAAAAATGCCTAAAAGACTTGCACTCTAGGCTAAACTACATAATGCACAAATAACATTTCTTGGTCCTAAACCGCAGATACACCAAGAGATCTGATTGGATGACTCTTTTAGGTTGACCATAATATTGTAAAGCAAATATTTTAGCCCCTCAGCTACAGTCTTACCACGGTGAATGCATCAAATTGTGCTTCTCTGTGATTTTTCACTCTCGCTGCAGTCAGGCAGCATAAAAAATGCATAGTAGCGATAGCATCTCTCGCTCTAGTTCCCTAAGTCGTGACCCAAGACAAGCTTAACTGGGAAAGTTGTTTGCTAACTGTCAGCCGGGTCCAAGCAGCTCTTGCTCTCTAGAGGATCTCATTGACCCATTGCTCTGTGTTCAGTGATGTTCAGGGGAAGCTATTTTGAAAACTTAGCCAGCTAAGCTAAAGTTACTAAGAGTTAAACTACAGTCAAGCTACCCTTTAGTAAGTAGACTATTTGTTTTGTGGAAGTTTGACATCATGTTTAAAGGGTTAGTTCACCCAAAAATGAAAATGATGTCATTAATGACTCACCCTCATGTCGTTCCAAGCCCGTAAGACCTCCGTTCATCTTCGGAACACAGTTTAAGATATTTTAGATTTAGTCCGAGAGCTTTCTGTCCCTCTATTGAAAATGTACGATATACTGTCCTTGTCCAGAAAGGAAATAAAGACATCATCAAAGTAGTCCATGTGAGATCAGTGGGTTTAGTTAGAATTTTTTTATGCATCGAAAATACATTTTGGTCCAAAAATAACAAAAACTAAGACTTTTTTCAGCATTGTATTCTTCCGGTTCTGTTGTCGAGTCTGCATTGACGCTGATGACGTAAGACGCTGCTGACGTGTATCTGGTGCGTCTGTGTATTCGGGTTCAAATAAATATGGCTGGGCAAAAAAATGCAAGTCTTCCTCTGTGTCGAAATCCTTAGACATGTTTGCGAAGATTGTTTTGTTTACAGCGTGCGTCTCCCTCAGACTGTAAACGAAGCTCGGGCGCACCAGAACACGTCAGCAGCGCCTTACGTCATCAGCGTCACTGAACACGGATTGACAACAGAACCGGAAGAGAATACAATGCTGAATAAAGTCGTAGTTTTTGTTATTTTTGGACCAAAATGTATTTTCGATGCTTCAAAACATTCTAACTAACCCACTGATGTCACATGGACTACTTTGATGATGTCTTTATTTCCTTTCTGGACAAGGACAGTATACCGTACATACATTTTCAATGGAGGGACAGAAAGCTCTCGGACTAAATCTAAAATATCTTAAACTGTGTTCCGAAGATGAACGGAGGTCTTACGGGCTTGGAACGACATGAGGGTGAGTCATTAATGACATCATTTTCATTTTTGGGTGAACTAACCCTTTAACATTTATTTCAAATCTCATGGAGCTTGATAGCTATAGGCTATAGATATTATGTTATTGGAGTAACTGGCTTCTCTGGTGCTATAACTAGGTTAAAACCGCTGCTTAAATCGTATTATCTTTCTATTCCATCTGCAGGCGAGCATCTCCGCATCTGCCCGCAAGGTTACACCTGCTGCACCAGTGCCATGGAGGAGACGCTGTCGAATCTAAGCCGCAGAGAGTTCGAAGGCCTGGTGAGGGAAGCAGGACGTTCCATTCAAGCCTCGCTAAATGCCCAATACAGGACCTTTGACAGTGAGTCCACCAATCAAAAGTATTCAGTCTTACAGTTGGTCGTTGTGTTTGCAGCTGCTAACACACCTGCTCAGTTTTTCCACTGTATGGGCGGCTATGTTAGCAAAATGATTTTCAAATAATCCAAATGTTTAAGGTGTCATTTCTCCACCCAGAGTGTAAAGTTGAGGAAGAACAGAGTAGCGACTGCAGCAACTCGCAAAGGAAATGAGATTTAGAGGTTTTAAGTTGTACTTGTACTGTCACGGACAGCTTTCTTATCCAGAGCAGTAGTTTATGAAACTTCACCTGCTTTTAGTTAACATTTTTCGTTTATCCATCTGCGGGGGTTAACGAATGTGAAGGGTTAAACAGTTGCAGTACTTTGAAGCCCAAATTCTCTCCTGGTTTGTGTCATTGTAAGCCTAGATAAAAGGAAAACTCTAAAGTTCATATGCTTTCACACCGAGTGGTCCTCGCAGGGCAATTACAGTGGGTTTTTATGGTGCCCTTTTACAGCAGCGCACCATTTAAGCTTGATAAACTGTAGTGACGCCAATGATGATAAAGAGATTTAGAAGTAGCTGTTCAGTTTCATGACCCTAATCAGATAATGGGAATGCAGCAATCATACGCGCATAATATATATACATATAAACCAGTTATATTAATTATTAAGTTATCTGAATGTTGAACATATAGTACATGTTATTGAAATTAATGATGTGTGTGTGTTTCATCTTATAAATTCCCCTAAAAGGCAAAACATGCGCTTGTTCAAGAAGAAACCTAAATATTTTACATTTCTATTTTCATGGAATAAACACTACAATCAAACCAAATAATAAAAATAAAAAAATGAATTTATTTTTTATATTTACCTTTTATACCATACATGGTGAAAATATGAAATACATCAAATAAATACTATTATTAAATCTGCAATGTAAAATGTACATTTGGAAAATAGATTCATGATGTACTCACTTATTATATAAATTTGTAAATTTTGAACACAAAAAACGGACTGCAGCTTTGAATGAATATTGTTATATTAAAAGCTATGTAAAATGTTCAGAAGTCATGGTGTTTTAATGTTGTTGTACTGAAATCTGCAACAATATTGGTGAACAGTAGTCAGTGGACTCAATTGCATTTCTTTATTAGTTTCACTCTATGATAAGTGACTTCCTTTTTTGTCATTGCAGCATACTTTCTGGAACTTCTAAATGGCTCTGAACGGTGGTTGGAGGAGGCGTTTGTGGCCGCTCTGGGGGAGTTGTACCGACCTAATGCAGGAGTGTTCCGGGACCTCTACGCCGACCTGCGTCGATATTACAGTGGTGCCGCCCTGAACCTTGAGGAGATCTTGGACGAGTTCTGGATGAAGCTCCTGGAGCGCCTTTTGAAGGCGTCTGACCCTGAGACCGCCTCGCTGCTCTCTGACGACTTCCTGGAGTGTGCCTCCAAGCAGACAGAGACCCTTCGTCCTTTTGGAGATGCCCCACGTGAACTGAAGGCCAAGCTGGTGCGGGCATTCATCGCTGCTCGGGCATTTGTCCAGGGCCTTAATGTGGCTGGAGAGATTGTACGGAAGGTGTCTCAGGTATAGTGGTTTATTTTTCTTTTGTAGGATTGTGTGATGTAGGCTCAGGGCTGTTAACCAGAAGGTTGCAGGTTTGATCCCCTCAAGAAGCATGCCATGTGCCAAGAAGACCATAATGTCCTTGAGCAAAGTAATTAATCCCAGGGTTCTCAGGGTGACAGGCGGCATTCATGCATGAAAGTTAAAAACAAACGTTCTACTAAATAAGTTAAAAATAAATGACAAAAACAGAGTTTACACTTGCACACCTTTAGCAGTATTTCCAGTTCCTACCAGCATTTAACATCTCTGAAGCAGGAAGATTCGCTTCTTGGCATCTTCTTGGTAAAACCATTTGGGAGCAAAAAACGTTGAGTAAGTTCAATAGTCCTCAACTGAATTGAGGTCTAATGTTCTTGATTTGTAAGACTCACCAAATGTCTTTAACATCTTTGTTCCGTAGAAAGATGAGTCGTCTACTAATCATTCTCAATGCTCTTGCAAACCATATCATATTTTGCTCCAGAAACCATACTGTCATTGATATTTAGTATTCCAGTGTGAATTCTTGGGTTAGGTGTGCACCAAATATAGCGCTTCACATCAAAGTCTTATAGTTCAGTTAAGGTCTCATCAGACCAGGGATTCTCCTCCAAGTCATTGAGTCTTTGACATGCCTTTTGGGCAAATACCAGCAAAGAAGTGATAACAAAGACTTCCTTCTTCCACCTTCCTTACTAGCCAGATTTATGAAGTGTTTCTGCTCTTGAAGTGCTATTGTTGCCTCATGGTAGTTTCTCCCATCTATTTTGTATAGAAACGTAACTCTTTAGCTTTGCAAAACTCTTCTTGTCCAGACACCCAGTTCTGGAGAAAGTTCAATTCTTTGCAGATGCACAGTTGTTTCATATTTTCTCACAATTATAATGACAAACATCACAGTGCTTCAAGGTATATTTAATGTGTCATAACTGGTATTTTTAAGACCTTTGCCTCAGATTTGATTATAATATCCTTGAGTTCTGCGGTAGGGTGTTGCTTTGGAAAAGAAGTGTGTATTCTCCTAGAGACAGGTGTATTTGACATTAGAGTTCTACGGCAATGGGAAACAATCTTCAGTGAATCATTGTTCCATGGTGTAACACTGTACAATTGAGATAGTCCAAGGACACTGAAGACTTTTTTTTTATATGTGGCTTAAACTCGTATATGTCGTTCTTTGATTTAATGTGCTGCAAAACTGAACAAAAAATAATCATGCATACCATTGAATGCCATACCCCCAGTAGGTGGTCTGGTTTCACTTAAAGAGAGCAGTACCTAGTTGCCTAGAATGTCAATCAATAGATACTCCCAAATTAATCAATATTGGATCCATGACATCAGGACAAATGGCTACACTGCAGCATTCCCGAAGATGTTTGCCTCAAACCAACACAAGGAAATTTAGTCCAAGTCCTTAGTGGCTACCCTACCCTTCCCTAGAACTCCCTGCTGCTTTGACAAATGAATGTAGGGCGCAATGGTACCACTCTGTTCTTTAAGGGATTTCTTATAGAATTGGATTTAGTCTCCTGGTGCCAAACTCTCGGGAGATTCCTGCTAAGCAGACCTAAATTCTTGCTGATGTTGGAAATATATCAGTTCGGGAATATTGAATCTCTTCTGGAAATGGCTTTAAGTTATTTTATGTTGTCATATGTAAAAACTGGATCCACTGCATGGCACATTCAGATGGATTAGCATTAAACATTACAATGTTTAGTCATAGCTGTTTTCGCATTTGTATCAGTAGCATGCGAGGCAGGTTCACACATGGTTGACATAAAATGATTAAACTTAAGTTGCCTTCGGCTAATATACAGCATGATTACTCTGGCTTCCACACTTGGCTTTCCCAAAAGACTTTAAATTACTCTAAAGTTTGTCTTGCAAAATACAGTAGATGACTTGAATCCACATGCAGGTAATAAGCAGGCTCTGTAACATTCAGGAAATCAAGCTACCTCACAGCAAGATATAATATGATAATATGTGTATGGGTAGACGTAGGGGATGCACAGTGTTCATGTGCAATTTACTAATAACAAACTTGTTTAGCTGATACTAAAAGGACTTGCATGCTTTTATTATGGGAACAGTTCCCCTGAAGCAATACTGGGTTAATTGCCTTGCTCAAAGTGTTGTTAGGTCATTGATAAACACCAAGGCTTCAACCGAATGTTGTTCTTAAAAAACATTTTTTTTTTTTAAAGTGCATGGCAACTAATGGCGACTATTCCCATAGGTTCCTCTGAGCCCAGAGTGCAATCGTGCCATTATGAAGCTGGTGTACTGTCCTCATTGCCGAGGTCTGGGATCGGTCAAACCTTGCATCAACTACTGCAAGAACGTCATGAAGGGCTGCCTGGCTAATCAGGCTGATCTAGACACTGAGTGGCAGAGCCTTATAGGTAAAGCAGATGTTATACCAAATGAACTCTTACTCTTTTGTTGATTGCTTGATTTCTATTTTTGTTGCATCTCACCTCATTTGTTCACACATTTTGTTGTTTTCAATCAATCAGAAACCATGCTACAGGTGGCCTCCAGTTTTGGTGCCGAGCCCAGTATGGACACGGTGATCTATTCAATTCCCGTGCGAATCTCAGAGGCAGTTCTCGCCATGCAGGAGAACATGGAGATCTATACCAGCAAGGTTAGGACATTGGAATTAAGCATCTATTCTAAATTTGTGTGAGTGGGTTAGATTGAATGCACTTGAGGTATGAGTTTAAAGATTTATTGATCACGTAAGGGCCATTTGTACAAATATACACGCTAGTTTGTGTTGCGTTTCAGGTTTTCAAGACCTGTGGGGACCGTGGTGAGGAAGGCACACCAAGCTCAATATCTGAGGTGCCAAAGAAGAAAGGAAGTACAGTTACTGCCCTGGAATACAAACCCAGCCCCAAATCTGCAGCCAGACTGGAGGTGCAGGTGTGTGTATGTGTGGCAGTATCAATTTCTGGCCAATTTTTATGAGATTTATACAATGTTATTTAAGTGTGTGTGTGTAATTCCCAGGTCACAGACGTGTCCAGCAAACTCAAGGAAATGCAATTTTACTGGATCCAACTCCCTTCGGCTCTGTGCAGCGGTAAAACGGCATCCACAACCGGCGCTGATAAATGCTGGAATGGCATCACCAAAGCCAGGTATTATATCTAAAATCTTCTCATTCTACAAAGAGAGGTGTCTATTCAGCTGGTCAGTACATGTAATTTGCCGTTTTATATTGTATATTCAATCAATTTACATGCTTCTCAAGCCTAAATAGATGTGCAGGGTTTTGATGGATGACTATTAGGATGAACGCACATTATGAATTTATAGATCGTTACTCATGGTCAGTGCTGGCGGACTTCTGAAAACTGCATCCCTCCCTGTTTTTGCGGCCAAAGTCGTTAAATTGATTGTTTAGCTATCACTGCCACAGAACTGAACTCCCATTGCCCAAAGTCATCAGAAGTGATTAATCATTGGATGCAGTTTAGATGTGCGTTCAATTGAGAGGATTTAAGTAGGTAGAGCCAAACAAGCTTTATTTTTAGTCATCACTAATACCTATCAGCTTCGTATAAGCAAATTTGCAATCTCCTGAGGGTAATTAATGCATACTGGTATGTGATTAGTGGTGTTTGTTTGCTAACACAAGCATCCCTATTACTATTACTCATAATTATGGTTCATGTACAGAAAAAGAAGGGACTTGAGTCAAATCTAAAAACTAGAATATCATAGAGACTTGGGGACATAAAGCTAAAAAACACTGTAGCAACCACATAGCAGATCCCTCAGAAAACCATAGCAACATACTAAAAACAGCTCAAAACATCACATAGCAACATCTCTGAACACTCTAGGAACATAGCAATGCATTAAAAAACACTTAAACTCTTTAGTCACATGCTAAAATCAGAACGCTTAAATAAGTGCACCAAAAACCACTTAGTATTGTAGCAGCAGGTTTTGCTCACTCAAGAGCCACACTAGCATGACACGTTGTAATCTAGTTTGTATTACTGATGTGCAAAACTGTTTTTTTATTTCAGTTTAAGACCATAAATAGTCAAAAATGTAATACAAGAGCCATTAACATAATGTGCGTGATTGAAATGGTTCTGGAAAATTGATTTTTCTGCAGTTACCTCCCAGAGGTCATGGGTGATGGGCTGGCCAATCAGATTAATAACCCAGAGGTGGAGATCGACATCACCAAGCCTGACAGGACTATTCGTCAACAGATCATGCTGCTGAAGATCATGTCTAACCGCCTGAAAAATGCCCTCAGCGGCAACGACGTGGATTTCCAAGACACAAGTATGTAGCTAAACATGCTAAAGTGCTAAAATAAGAGCTGTGTAAACATCACTCACCTGGCGTCATGAGGTGCATTAGCGAACTGACACTAGAGGCTGCGATCTTAAGCGTCCTTGTTAGCACGCCCGCCTCCCATGCCGGAAACGCCGGTTTGAATCCCGCTGGGAGCAGGGTGAGTAGAACCAGAGAGGTTAAATTTGGTGCCGTGACCCGGATGGGGGTGAGTGTATTGGAGGCAAGCTAGTAAGAGATGTGAGAGTAAAACCTCACTCCCCTGGCCTCACTAGCGACTGACGCTAGAGACTGAGGTCTTTAGCATCCATGCCCTAGTAATCCAGCTCGGAGCGAGTCAAATAGGTTAAATAACCGGTTACCCTAACTACACTGCATTGTGAATGATAATCATACAGTGGGCTTCATGCAACCTGAACATGAGATCAAATTTGTGTAAATCATTCAGCATCAATTGAATTTATTCAATTCCCTAGTTCAGTTTGTTCTATTATTTTTACATGAATGAGGCCCAATGATGCAAAATTTGCCACGATTTTGTCTGCTTAAGTATTCCGCAATTTCATGTTAATTAGTATTGCAAAGCAACCATTACTTCTGTGACCTGTTTTACACTAGAGTAATTATCATGTTTTTCCCGTAATGTGCTTCTAGGTGATGATTTCAGTGGTTCAGGAAGCGGCATGTGTGCGGACCACCTGTGCATCCGAGGTAGACCTCCGGTTTTTGGGCCGAAGACGGACAGGCCCAAACTCTATGCCTATAATCCTGAAAACAAAAGAGTCAAAGGATCCGGAAACCAGATTCAACCCTCCGTCATCTTACTGTTTCTGTTACTCGCGAGTCTACTGCTCAGGCGATAATGGAGACGCTAAATCGAACTTTGGGATCTGGGTCAGGAAATTTGGGATAGGACAAGGAATGTAAAAAAAAAAAAAAAGAATAGTGAAAATGAGAAAAGGTGAGCTTAATAAAATTGCCAAAAGAAAAAAAAGAAAACTTTTGAGTGAATGGACATTTTAATTCCTCTGGAATACAACATGACCATGAGAATTGGTGGAAAAGGAAATTTGTTTTTGTGTTTTTTATGTTTTGTAATATGTCAGATTTAAGTGCTGACTTGTTACATCAATTGACATCTTGTTTGTTTTTTTACCTTTGAATGTAAAAAGAAGAACTGGACAGGGAGAATGGCGGTTTAGATTTACAATACGAGGTTCTCAGCCACCTTACCCACAGTTCTTTGTTCTTAAAGTCACACAGTCACCAAGTCACCTTGTGTTTTATTTCGCCATGCTTGAGTTATGCAAGTTCGTCATTGCACAACAGTCCATTTTGTCTTAAATATTTCACATACGGATATAATTACAAAGCACTACATTAGTCAAACCCCTTTTAGATAAAAAAAATTAATGAACTTTGGCATGGATATTAATCGAAATACTGAATTGCTGAGTATCTAAGGAATTATGTAATGGTGTTTTTTTTTAACTGTTCATTTGTTTAGTCCACAATTATTTTGTATGATAACAAGCGTCAATACTCATAAAACAATTTAAATTTATTTCACACCAACATCAAAAGAAATTGTTGCATAAAAGAAAATATAGCCTATTTTTTATAGGACCATTAAGATTTTTGCATTTAATATATGATTACTTTCATAATTTTATTTTCACAATAATTTTTCTTTCAACTTTAATTAATATTTTTCCTCATCTGTACTTTTGACCTGTTTTTCATTAAAGCATCTAACCATTCTTAAAACATGCTGAATTTCTAATTTGATCGATTTGTGAAATAAAATTCACCCACACATTATAATTAAAACAACATCTATTCTCAGAAAATGAAATTTATGCAATTTGAACTTTGTAAGTTATTAAATTTGTTTTATGGATTAAAGATTCTGAATTCATTTTGAGTTTTATTTTCAGAACTTTCAAGATTTTTAATAATTTCTCACTTTACATTAATTCAATTTTAGTGAGAACTTGTACTTAATTTACATTAAATTAATGCCACAATGCAAAAAAAAAAGTCTTAACCTAAAAAAAATAGGCTTTATTTTTAATGCTTTTTTTTTTTTTGGTGTGAAATATGACCCAGATCTGAGATGCTCTTGAGATTGCTCTTGTTGAAAAACAACAAACTTCCGAAAAACAAGAATGCAAAAAATATTTGTTTCACTCACCTCGATGCAAACCCTTAACTTGCATTTAGAAACTTATGGCTGTATTATTGCTCAGTGCAGCACAAATTTATATTCGTAATGAGTACTTTCAGCACAGATGTCAAGTTAAATAGAAGCATGTGTCAGCCTTGAATTAATTGATTTGCCTTGAATGGAATTGCATTATTGCCAAAGCCAATGGGAAGCAGTCATTTACAGAATGTACAGTTTTAAAATACCAACTGTCACTTTTAATAAAAGCTCATAATAAATTTGACGACTTCGATTCGAGAGCAATATGATTCATTTACTAAACTTGTGGCAGTGATGTTTTAAAACAACTCCAAGGATTTGATTCAGAAGCGAGAGATTTGCGATGGTTTAGACAAACATGTAATAAAAAAAAAAAACACATTCCTACAAAATGTCTTGGACAATATGAGCATCTAGTCCCTAAATGTTGCATTTAAAGGTGTCAAACGATCTTCGTGTTTCTGATATACCGTTCTAATGACTTCCTTTTTTGATGCACAACGAGAGCTGAATCCACAAGGACCTGGTTCAAGTCAGATGCGAAATGTAAAAAGTTGTGGAATGTAAACGCAGTTGAGAATGTACATGATGTAGTGTACGATCTCTGTCACAAGAAGGTTGGTTTTTGTACTCGGTTGTCCGGTATAAATGAAAAGCACATTGTATACTCTTAGTCTATCGCATGACTCAATGAATGGACATTGAGAAGGGCTCAAACACAAGCGTAATGTGTTTCATGTGACAGATTGAGCAAACGCTCGTTCGAGAGAGACAGAGATGTGTGTAATGGAACATTTGAAATATTTCAGGACTAGCATTTTATTTGAGGTTTGAATTTGTAAATTTGGTCTGTTTTACGTATTAAACATGCACAGTTGTTCAAACAAAGTGGATGTTGTCTGTCATTTCGAAGAATTTCTATTAATAGACCTTGAATTATGTTTTGTTTTTGTTTTTTTATGTAATTTTCTTGCTCAAGTTTTAAATCCTCCCCAGACAGCAACATAGTGTCTGCCCAGATGTGGATTCCACGTGTACCAGATGTGGGCCGGATCTGGGCCGACACTATGTTGCTGTCTGGCAGTCTCTCTCTTTTCAAAAAATGTAAATGTGAAGCCGAAAACTTTTACATATCTGTTTAATTGGCCTTTGATTTTAAAGCATTCTAAATAAAACTGTAATTTTCATTCAGGTCAGATTCTTGTATTTCTGGGGTCACTCTTAGGTGGAAGGTCTTGCCTTTAGCTTCTTTGGTCGACAGAGGTGAACGTGGTCCGATGATTGCGCATTTATCTCTGCTGCTTTTTCCACTCACCACTGTGAAAACACAACAAAAGTGTTATGCATTAGCTTATCATAGTAAAAAAAACTGTTTATTGGTCAATTAATCTGCCTATGTTTAGCCATTTTGTGATTATACTTCGCATTGTATCAGACGCACCATAAATTAACAATTAATAATGTAATTTTTGTCAAGAGTTTTTAAAAGACATTTTGAGCAGAATTTTTTTTTCTTAAAGAAAGATTTCTATTTCAAATAAATGTTGTTCTTTTGAACCTTTATTCATATTAAGCAGCACAGCTGTTTTAAACATGGATGATAATAATAATAAGATGTTTGTTAAGCAGCAAATCAGCATATTAGAATGATTTCTGAAGGATCATGTGACACTGGAGAAATGAGGCTGAAAAATCAGCTTTACATTACAGGAATAAATTACATTTTAAAATATATTGAAATTCCAAAGTGTAGGTTTTTAAAACCAAAACCTTTGAAACTTTTCTTTTAGCAATTTTGTGTATGTGTAATTTGCACCTATCAGTGTTATTTTAGTATTATTGAGATACTATTATATCTTTTTTATTGTTTTAATGTGTGTTTTGTCATTTTTATTTGTTTTTTAAATGCCTATATAGATATTATTAATTATTAATTGTATAGTTATTAATTTTTATTTCAGTTTTAGTGTTAGTTATTTTAGTACATAAAGTGAAACTGAAAAGCGAAACATGATAATGAAAAATGTTTCCCTGGCAACTAGCTCAAATAAAATAAATTTAAGTTTTTTTAAAATATTTTATTAATATTATATTATATTTTATTTTTATTTATTTATAGTTTATTTTATGGGGGGTTTTTTTATGGTTTAAGTTTTAGTTACTTGTAATAACCCTGGGGCCTCATTTATAAAATGTTACGTAGAAACCATCCTACAATTGATCTTATGATAATTTCTCCAATGTCCGTACGCGTGATTCAGAGAAACAAACGTATGAACAAAAAAACCTGCATACGCCTCTCTTCCAGATGTGAAATCTATAAATCGCAAATGATCTTAAAATTGCATGCAGCTGAATGGTTTCAGACCTCTGCCTTGTACACGCCCCCTAATTAATATCATCAGCATATAAAAGAGCATCAGTCAACATCCAAATCCTTTACTTGAGAATCACGAGCGCTAAGAATTGCTTAGATTTCCAAATACCTGCAGTACTCCAAGGCTATGTCCGAAATCGTCCCCTATACCCTTAAATAGGGCACTAATAGTGTCCAAAACCATAGTGGACATTATAGAGTGCACTCATTCAATCCCATAATGCACCACAACCACGAGTGTACAACCGATGTACGCTCAGCAGCTAGAGAATACGCATAATGCACTGTGAGAGTCACGCGCTGAATTTGTTATCATTCACTTCTTTAAGTGAACTATATTAGAGGACTAATGTAGGGAATCCTGAATAAGGGTATAGGGGGCGATTTCGGACACAGCCTAAGATCAAATTTGTGCTTAAGCACGTTTTATAAATGAGGCCCCTGGCACCTATAAGAAATACACCATTGTTTGTTTCTGGACCTACATCTTATGTAGAAACACTAGACAGACAAATCCTCCAGAGAAAAGCACACTGTCAACACCCTAAATATACAGCAATTAGGTTGTGCCAGGTTCCTCAATGTCCTGGTGAACCCTCTGCGTGATTCGCCGGCGATCAGATGCGCCCTCATTTGTTCTAGAAGTGTGGCCTTTATCTCACAAACACTTTTTATATAACACTGTTGTTACTGGAGACTGCATCTTGACTCAGTATATTCTCACAGGAACTTAGCGCTGCAGGAGAGGGTCATTTCTCATTTCATACTTTAAATCCCATAAGATCTTCGGTCTGTTTTAAAAACAAATCCTCTGCTCACACACTACACGTCTGGTTTTCAGAGTCCACTTCATGGAGTATACAAGCCTTCTGTGTGGTTTAAAGATAATAAAATGCAGCAACAGTTAAAGCTGCTGTAGGTAGCTTTTGTAAAAAATATTTTTTACATATTTGTTAAAACTGTCATTATGTCCTGACAGTAGAATATGAGACAGATAATCTGTGAAAAAATCAAGCTCCTCTGGCTCCTCCCAGTGGTCCTATTGCCATTAGCAGAAATACACGCTCCCGGTCAGAAACAACCAATCAGAGCCAGGAGAAATGTCTTAGCAGTGTCAATCACTCTCGTGTACGCGCTGATCACACCCCTCTCTTGCACAGCGCGAGCGCCGGAGCGCGTACCGTCGTTCAAACTCAAGATTGCCGGCGTGCTGCAGCTGTGCTTATGACGGAGAAACAACCTAAACTGCCAATTCTCGAGTGACACCTGCTCATAAAACAAAGAGGTAAACGGAAAAAGACCGATGACGATAAACAAGCGAAAAAGAAAGAATTACACAGAGCCCATTGATTCAGTGTCAAAACTCTAGCCGCATTACATGTAGATAAAATGTCACGCACTCTGCTAAGCAACAATTGAAACCTGCTAATTCACTGGCTTGTCATGTTGCTGAAATAATGTACTAGCACACCTTATATAGCATTATATATCGTTATATTAACGTTATCTTTCTAGCTATTTATAACTTATAGAAAGAGTGCAACGTTATAAAGTTAGATGTATTGCAAAATACATAATGATTTGAGGACCAAGTTTGTAGTCAAAGTATGGGCAGGCCATAGTCAATATAAAGCATATTGTTGACGTTTAGTCCCTATTAGTGAATGTGCCATATAACTTTTTATCCGCCATCATCGGTGGCCCTGTTTACTAGCCTGCGCGTTCACGACGGGCTCCGCTGTGGAGGACGAGCTGTGGAGGGAGGGCTGTAGCGCAGCAGAGAGCAAGGGGGTGGGACCTGTAAGTTGTGCTTGTTCAAATTTTCAGGCTAAGCCAACGTTTTCTCAAAACTCCCTACTGCAGCTTTAAGTCATTTGTTTTTAAATCAATTCATACAAATTTCATGGCTGATAAGAAAGTTTTATGGCTGGTAAATTTCGGGTTTTGTTTTTACCAATTCACTTGGCATTGGAAAAAATAACTCACTACAGAAAAGAGAAAAATCGTAATATTTTCTTCATTTGTACTTGAATTTTTCTGCAGTAAAAAAAACATTTTCAATCTTAAATTCCTAGAATTCGGTTAGATTTATGCTTAAAATGAAATCTTATTCATCAATTTAAACTGATCTTGTTATAAGGATACATTTTTATGGATGTAATTTTCTCTTTCAAGGTAAAACATTTTTATTTTCAGAAATGTTTTATAATTTTCATAATTTAGCACGTTCTGCCACCAAAAAAAAACTACATAATGGTGGGTTGCTTTTTTATTTATACTGATTTTATTTCATTGTGTCCAAACAGGATGATTTTCATGTATTCCTACATTAATAAGAATGAGAATTTGTCACATTACAGTAATGAAAATATTTTGAGAAATTACACTTAATTCTCATGAAAACAGAATTACTGTATACCTAACAATTATTTTTAATGCAAAATTTTATTCCTGTATACTTAAAATTATATATATATTGTCTAAAGGATGTCTAGATTTAGATTTTTTTTACTGGAAAAGACCAAAAGTGCGAGTTGAGCAAACGCTCAAAATCTACAACTTTGTAGGTAGGTGTTTTACAAATTGATCGAGACCTGGTACCAACCTGGCAAACGGACACACTCGTCTCTGTGGCGTTCATCCCACGCTTTCGTTTTGCAGGTCTTGCTACAGTAGAAGACCTCATGACAGCGGCTACAGGCCATAAGCTGCACACCCACCGAACGACCGCACTGGTAGCAATATTTGAAGCGATGCTTTCTAAAATAAAAACCACAAATAGACACGGATTTGAGGTGTCACTCATGTCCACAGCAGAAAAAAACACTTTGGTTTGCAATAATGAAGTACCTCCGCACTCTCTGACCGATGCATGAAGTCCTGCTGTTCTCTTCAGGAGAGCTCAGGAGACTCGGTGTCGCTCCTGCTCCGGTATACACAAACTTCTCTGAGGGACTGACACCTTAGACAACAGACAAACACACACACATTACCAGAGAGGCAAAATCCAGAAAGCGTTGTGTATTTCTAGTAACTATCAGCCAGTCTCACTGAATATGCCTTGGCTCCTATCCTTCTCCATGCGGCGTGTTTCCATTCCGATCGCCTCCTGTCTCAGCAGATCTCCCATGAGGCCTAGCAACTCCCGGCGGGCATTATAGGCTTGTCTCTCGTGCTTGTTGAGGGCATGATATGGAGTGTGGGCCATGCGCTGGTTCTGGTGGGAAAGCAGAACCGGTCTGGTGAGCGGATTGATAAATGAGATTTCAGATGATCTGGAACACGGGATGAACTGGCGATGAAAAGCTGCACCTGTTGGAATGCACTGTGCGCATAATCCACGACTGTTCCCACAGCGCACCTGCGTCCCGCGCCCACCACGACGGGCATGAGGATGTCAGCGCCAGCTTTGATCAACTTTTCCAGCTTAATGAAGCGAAACAGAAACAAAGAGAGCAGAGTGATTAGGAATAACTGTATTTATTTTTCCCTATTTACTTGATTGACAAGTCTCTGAAGCACTAAATTGTTTCTGAACGTGAGTTGAATGATGATTCAACCTGATCTTGTGAGGAAAAACATAACTTGGCATATGTTTGCTGCCAAATGTACCAGTGTCAGAAATTTACTTTTCTTTTAAGAGGCAATATTTGCCCCCTAGAATTTTATCTTTAAAGGGGATAAAATGAAATAAAATAATCATTTAATTTTTTTTTCTAACCATATAAAAATGTGTGATCCTTTTATGTAAAATACTTAAATGTAATCAATCAATTAAAATAAATACTCATCATTCTTCATTTGAATGATCAGAATAATCAAATATTACAAATACCAAAAAGTAATTCTTTACAGGGCACTTTTAGTCTCTCATCTTTAGTGACATTTTGAAGATTAAAGTGTGTTTTATTTGGTCAAATACAGATGATGCTTTAATAAGCTTAAAAAGCCAGACATATCTCCAAATAATGTTCTATTAAATCTATTAATTTGTTATTAAATAATTTTTTTTACAATAAAATACAATAATTATTATATTTTATTGTATTATTATAATATTGTATTGTATACTATATATATATATATATATATATATATATATATATATATATATATATATATATATATATGTATTATTATTATATAATATTTATATAATTATTCTAAACAACATATTACTGAATCATTTTAAGTCAATGAACAGAAGTGCACAAACACTATATATATATATATAAATGTAAATATTTTTATTTAGAATATATAGAATAATTTAATAAGTTCATTAATATATTTAGAATAATGAATTGTACTTCAAAATAATTTAGAACATTTGATTTAAATTATTATATAGATATAATAAACATATTTATTTTAATTTTATAAAATGTACCTTTAAAATCCATTTATTCTATCTAAATATTAATTTAGATTGATTTTATATTATTACTTTTACTTGTATATTATATTTATTAACTATATATATTATTCTAAATATATTGTTATTTAATTAGATTCTAAATTTAAATTCAATTTTACATTCAGTAAATGTACATGTTATTTTGTAATGCGTTGTGCAACTACAGAGCCGCAGAAACATATTTCACATATGCACAGTCACGTATTTTCCCATGAGACCAGGCAGGATAATTAGTTGAAGGCAAACACCAGCTTGACTTGGTTGCGTGGATGAGGCACACGGTCGTAGCTGATGTTGGCAAGGGCACAGAGAGCGCTGCCCACATGACGGGTGAGAGGAAGATTAGGATCAGCCCCTCCGGCTAGCAGTTCATCCACAGCCTGGGAAAAAAAACCATTAATACACACCCTCATCCTTCAGTAATGATTTATTATTCCACAATCATTCTGTCTTTTGGAACAGACAGTATTTAATTATACCCTAAAAGATGAGTCGTTGCAAATAGCTGCACTACAAATGATTTAGTCGGAAGAAGTGATGTCAGCAATGATTACATACAAGGTCGTTGCCGCTTGCGATGGCTAGAGACAGGGGTGAATGGCCACTCCACACATCATTGGGGCTTGCTTTGCGAGAAAGAAGAAGTACAACCACATCTCTAGCATTCTGAAATAAAAAAAAGCCTTTTTAAAATTGAATATTCCATATTTACTTCTTTATATATATATATATATATATATATATATATATGTATCCAGTCTTCAGTGTCACATGATCCTTCAGAAATCATTTTAACATGCTTCTTTTTTTTTTTATCGTGTTGTTTTAGTGTATATATTGTGTTCTTACTGCATAATCGCTGTCTCTTTGGCAGGCCACATGTAGTGGTGTCCTCCCACCTTCCTGAGGAAACTCGACCGGGGCTTCGTTGAACTTGGCCAGGGGTTTAGAGGCCATGAAATGCTGATTCTCAAAGGCCTGGTGCTCAAGCGTCTCCTGAGGATTTATATCTCTATGATTAGAGACATTAAAAAAGGTTGTGGTGCAATAAATGTATACAAAACTTGAGGTTTGCTCAGACCATATCAAACTCATAGACTTCATCGGCATCCTGTGCTTTGACGTCAGGGTCCGCTAGAGCATGCAAGAGGAGCTCTGTGATTTCAGGACCCTCGGCTCCAGGCAACCCTGCTGCTATGTGAAGGGGGTACAGACCCTTTTGCTGTCACAGACCAAAAAAAAGAGGAATCAAGCTATATTGACCAGATAGATGTCTTGCTGTAGATAATCTAATGAAATATAAAAAATTGTTAGTAAGCAGAAAATCACCTTTGAAAATATTGTAAACAAACTTGAATATTCAGGAAAGGAATCTACTTTGTAGATTAAACTAGATGAGTAAAAGTTGATCACAAACTTTGATGTTGGCTTGACAAAGCTTTGTCTGAAAGTTTAACATGTGTTAACAAGTATATAGTATAGCTAGTATATTTTAACAGTGTTAACATGTTGTAGCAAGTTGCTAATGCTAACATGTTATAGCATGATTTAACACAGTGTTTGCAACAGGCATGTTTCTAGTATGAATTAGTAAATTGCTAGCATGATTTAACATGTTCCTAACATGATTTGACACGTTACTATCATGTTTAACAAGTTGCTAGCATGGTCTAACATTTTGCTAGCATGGTTTAGCATTTTGCTAGCATGTTTCTAGCATTAAAATTAACACATTGCTATCATGATTTAGAATGCTGTTAACATGCTTCTAGCATGATTTAACACACATTGCTAGGATGTTTTAACATGTTCCTAACATGATTTAGCATGTTGTTAGCATGATTTAACATGTTACTAGGATGTTTCTACCGTGACTAACACATTGCTATCATGTTTCTAGCATGATTAACACATTGTTGGCATGATTTAATATGCTGCTAACATGCTTCTAGCATGATTTAACACACATTGCTAGGATGTTTTAACATGTTCCTTACATGATTTAGCATGTTGTTAGCATGATTTAACACAGTGTTTGCAACAGGCATGTTTCTAGTATGAATTAGTAAATTGCTAGCATGATTTAACATGTTCCTAACATGATTTGACACGTTACTATCATGTTTAACAAGTTGCTAGCATGGTCTAACATTTTGCTAGGATGGTTTAGCATTTTGCTAGCATGTTTTAACATGTTGTTAGCATGATTTAACATGTTGCTAGCATGTTTCTAGCATTAAAATTAACACATTGCTATCATGATTTAGAATGCTGTTAACATGCTTCTAGCATGATTTAACACACATTGCTATCATGTTTCTAGCATGATTAACACATTGTTGGCATGATTTAATATGCTGCTAACATGCTTCTAGCATGATTTAACACACATTGCTAGGATGTTTTAACATGTTCCTAACATGATTCAGCATGTTGTTAGCATGATTTAACATGTTACTAGGATGTTTCTAGCGTGACAAACACATTGCTATCATGTTTCTAGCATGATTAACACATTGTTGGCATGATTTAATATGCTGCTAACAGGCTTCTAGCATGATTTAACACACATTGCTAGGATGTTTTAACATGTTCCTAACATGATTTAGCATGTTGTTAGCATGATTTAACATGTTACTAGGATGTTTCTAGCGTGACTAACACATTGCTATCATGTTTCTAGCATGATTAACACATTGTTGGCATAATTTAATATGCTGCTAACATGCTTCTAGCATGATTTAACACACATTTTTAGCATGTTTTAACATGTTGCTAGCATGATTTAACATGTTGTTAGCATGATTTAACGTGTTGTTAGCATGATTTAACATGTTCTAGCTATTTAACATGTTCATTGCTAGCATGTTTTAACATGTTCCTAACATGATTTAGCATGTTGTTAGCATGATTTAACATGTTACTAGCATGTTTCTAGCGTGACTAACACATTGCTATCATGTTTCTAGCATGATTAACACATTGTTGGCATGATTTAATATGCTGCTAACATGCTTCTAGCATGATTTAACACACATTCCTAGCATGTTTTAACATGTTGTTAGCATGATTTAACGTGTTGTTAGCATGATTTAACATGTTGTTAGCATGATTTAACATTTTGTTAGCATGATTTAACATGTTCTTACATGTTTCTAGCACGATTTAACAAATTACGATTTAGCACAAAATAAAATAATAAAAGGAAAGAAAAGAAAGAAAAGAAAAGAAAAGAAAAGAAAAGGAGAAAGAAAATGATGAAAAGAAATGAAGCCTCTTGAGGTACCTCTGGAAGTAGAGGTATGTCTGGACGAGCCCCGCACTCCAGCAGACGACGGACGCCCTTGACATGGGCAGCTTTGATAGCTAGGAAGATGACGGGCATGGGGACAGTAGATGCGTTTGGGTCTGCTCCTCTCTCCAACAGAAGATTGATTGTAATCCATCGATTCCGATGTCTATCAGACCAGAGAATCACCAGTCACAAAACAACAATTTTTCATTAAAATCATTCTCATTACTGTAATGAAAAAAAAAAACATATAAATATATAAAAGCATTATAATTATAGCATTCCATCCATGCTCAAAAAGTAGAGCATGGCACTAGCAACGCCAAGGTCATGGGTTTGATTCCCAGGGAATGCATGAAGTGATCAAATGTAAACCTTGAATGCAATGTGAGTCGCTTTGGATAAACGCATCTCAAAAATGTACCAATGTTAATGTAAATAATAATATATAATTTATTATAATATTTTATATTATAAAACTATTATTATTATTGATTAAATTATTATATTAGTAATTAAATCACTTTTATTTCATTTACTAATAATACATAAAAATTAAGTACATTAATTAAATAATTTTGTATGTAATAATTTACATATACATTATTGTATATTTTTATTGTATATAATTATTGTATAAATGATTACAATAATAATATTACAAGTATTTATTCACCACACTAATAAGAATTTGGGTAAAATATGCTTATGAAAATGCATTATCAAAAAAATACATAAAATAATTAAAATAAAATTACATTTAAGCCAGGCATATATTTTGTGAGATTCATCTAAATAAAAATAATTTCTATAGAAATTTACTCTGTCTTAAGAAGTGCAATTTTCCGGACCGTCTCTTGAGTGTCAGTCGGAGTCACAGTTCCTGTCTGGCACAGGATCTCTGCAGTCTTCTGTAGGATCTCCTCTGTGACGTCAATGTGAAAACTAGCCAAAGAACATGCAGAATCAAAGGAAAGATCATCTGATCTGATGCTCCGCTCTAGTTTTTCTTCAAACTCCAGATTTGTCAGCTCTTCTTCAGAGTCAACGATACTCTTTGTTTTCCTCTCTCGCCAAAACACAGAACCCACTGCAATTGTACCATCGAATACTTGAATAGATCTTAAAATAATATCATGTGGTTCTACTGATGGTATGTCCTGTTCATGTTCAGGCTGAAGAACTATCTTCTTGTTTGGATCCTTATTTTCACTGATTTGATTAACTTGAGGTTCCTCAGTGTTCTTGAGGCCTTCTGGTTGGTCAGGTTGATCTTCGTTTATGTCCTCGTTGATTTGCTCTTGAGCTCTGAGTTTCTCCAAGTTATTGAGGTTCTCTGGTAAAAGACTTTGGTCAACCTGGTTGGTCTGTCTTGGTGTCTCAAATATCTCTTGGTCGCTTTCATCTTCGGGTGTTCCTGTCATTGGATCTGGAGAGGATATATGGGAGACGTCTTCCAAAGGCTTGATCTTTAGCGTAACAGACCGAAAAAAGGGAGGAACAAGAAATGAAGGGGAAAAATGATCTGACTAACTATAAGCATACCAAAAGAAAGTGCAAATCTCAGTATTCTTACCTGTGGCTCAGGGCTGATATTCTGGGTCACTTTCTCAGCCAGCGTCTCATTTAAAGACTGAAGTGGATAGTAGAGAACAGTACAGACAGCCAGAGCAGACATGCCTTCATCATTTAACTTATTAACATCGGCCCCGCTGTCCAACAGCATGTGGATGACATCGTCATGACAATGTACCTAGACACACAACAAACCTAATTTACACATTGATCATCAGCAAACATGCAATCTGTACTGTGTGTTGTTATTCAAGATCTGAAACCTGTAGGTTTCCAATTATCCAATGCTTATTCACAACTGTGAAAAAGAAAAAGAAAACAATGCTGCCATCTTCTGGAAAATATTGCTTTACATTTATACAACAGAAAGGCAAAAAAAAAAAAAGAAGAGTGTTTTGCTACAAAATGGACATTATGCAATGAAAAGAAAGCGATTCTTCATTTATTTGATCCAAAATACAGCAAAAACAGTAATATTGTGAAGTATGTTTACAATTTAAAATATCTGTTTTCTCTTTGCATATATTTTATTGAATTATTTATATGAATTTTCAGCATCATTACTCCAGTCTTCAGTGTCACATGATCCTTCATAAATCATTCTAATACGCCGATTTGCTGCTCAAGAAACATTTATTATTATTATCAATGTTGAAAGCAGTTGCGTACAATTTTTCTTCTTCCAGGATTCTTTGATGAATAGAAAGTTCAAAAGAACAGCATTTATTTGAAACATAAAGCTTTTGCAACATAATAAATGTCTAAACTGTCACTTTTGATCAATTTACTACACCCTTGCTGAATAAAATTATTAATTTCTTTAATTTCTTTCCAAAAAACAAAACAAAAAAACTCTTACTGACCCCAAACTTTTGAACGGTAGTGATAATGTTACAAAATATTTCTATTTCAGATAAATGCTGTTCTTTTGAACTTTCTATTCATCAAATAATCCTGAAAAAAACAATTGTACACAACTGTTTTCAACATAATAGTGTATTATAATATCAAAATGAATATTAGGAAATGAAAAATATCATATTAATATATATATAAATATATCAAAATAAATATATACCAAATAATAATAGTGACTGGATCATTGGATCTTGTTAAAACAGAAGCTTACCGTGGCTGCTATGAGAGCCGTATGTCCTCGTGCGTCACTCACGTCGGGATGGACTTTTCCATCTCTGAAGATTCGATAAACATTCCTGCATTCACCATGTGAAGCTTCCTCGATCAGTTTCTCTGAGTTCAGCTCCAGGGGACCTTTGGGTCCAAACTGAGTCCTGTTCATATTCAATACTGCAGTGACATCCCAGTCTAATGTTTCTGTCTCAAATCTGCAGGGAAAAAGTAAAAGATATGGGTCAAATAAAGGTAAAACAAAATAAATTAAAATATAATATAACATAATATATAAATATATATATATTATATAAATATTGTTGGTACCATCTGCCATCTTCTGGCAAATATATATATATATATATATATACAGTATATATAGGCAGGTGGTGCTGGGGAAGGTGGAGGGATAGGAAATGGACATAAATAGGTTAAGTAGATAGAACAGATCGATTGGCCAAAGTGGTTGGCTTTAAAAGAAACAGCTGCTCGGAAGAGCATATATATGAAAAAAGGAGCATGTAAATCCTACTTTCTTCCACTGCATTAAATATGAATGCATATATAATTAAATTAAATTAAAAAAAAAAAAATTAATTCTGGTAAATATTGCTTACTGTTTATATGACAGAAAGGCTCAAAGAAAGAGTGTTCTGCCACAAAATGTAAGCAATGTTAGAATTAAATATATTTTTTATATATTTTATTAAATATATTTAATAAAAAATGAAATGTTATGTTTCTTCAGCTCATTATATTCAAAACAAAACAAAAGTTTTGCCCAGGTTAGTGCTAAGCAACAATCTTCTCACCTGTGTCTCTGAATGTGTGCATTCATGCGCTGCTGTAGCGTCAAGGCTGTCGATGTTGATTGCTGCTCTGTGCTGATGTCACTCCTACCAAAAAAGTGAAGGTCCAGTTCCCGGCGTAGACACCTGGGAACGGGCAGATGGTCTGAGTCTGTGGAGTAGCTCTCAGTGTCTGGAGGCAGGATGAAACGTTCCACGTCCTCTGATAACTCCTGATCGGACTCAAGGGGACCGCCATCTGTACTCCACTCCACATCAAGAGGAAGTTGAGGTTGTTTCAGGTGTTTCTTAGGCAGTCTGGTCATGTGATCTGGGAACCCCTCAAGACTAAAGCCGCCCTCCAGAGTGGTGCATATTTGCAGTAACATCTCTCTGTGCCAAAGGCCCACATCCTGCCGCCCATCAAGGTATGTCATGATCCCAGGCCCAAAGCGTTCATCAGCATGATACAGACCCTGTAGATTGGATTTTGTTTTATTATCTATTATATGATAAAAGTAAACTTATTGTTAATGAACTATGGGAATTATGAAACCTCAAAAGTTGATCCGTCTGGGAAAAACTGCACTCCGTATCCCTCTTTTCGGTTCAGATAAAAGTTTCCTGTGTATTTGGATCCATCTGGCCAGGAATACATACCTTTCCCATGTCGATAATCCTTAAAAAATGAACCTTTATAGAACTGAATAAAACATGAAAATAATTTTGTGTCAAAGTGGCAAGTGGAAAGGGGATCAATAAAAATTATTCAAAATAATTGTGAACAAAAAAAATCAAACAGTGCATTTCTGGTACTTTCCATGAATAGGGTACAAAAAGGGCCTGTAAATAAATAAATACATTATTTTTGCTTGGTTTTCAAGAAATATGCATTAATTTTCATTGGTAGAAAAACGAAAATAAATGGATAAAAAAATTACAAATATGGTGCGAAAAAAATTACAAATATGGTACGAAAAAAGCCTGAATTTAGATAGATAGATAGATAGATAGATAGATAGATAGATAGATAGATAGATAGATAGATAGATAGATAGATAGATAGATAGATAGATAGATAGATAGATAGATAGATAGATAGATAGATAGATTGCCAAGTAATTGAAAATAATTGAATGGAAAAAATAAAGATAATTAAATAGAAAAATAATTATAAAACGTATATTTGAAATTAGTAAATAATTGTAAGTATAGTAATAAGTATTTTATTACAATTAACTGAATATTCAGCACTGTCAAAATGATGTGGAATACTGACATTTGATGCATTTTCATGATAGGTTAATGTTACGTTTTATAATGGCAGTGTTTATTAATGACTTAAATTTCGCAAATTAAACTTTATCTTAGAACCAACAGACCATTATATGGTATGTGTTACATATGAAGTGAAATATACCTCTCCATTTGTCCATGTGAAGACACCAGTGCCATGCTTCAGGTTATTTACGAATCCCCCCTCATATTTACACCCATCCGACCATTCCTGGATTCCATGTCCATTTCTTTTCCAAGAACTATCCTTTACCCACATTTCTGAACAAACGTGCTTTTCTTATTCAGTTCATATCATGACTTTATAAACGCTTGTTTACACAGCGCGCGACTTCTGAGTGCTCCAAACACTTTTTTATTGTTTAACTTCGGGTGGTTACCATGACGACGCGAGGCTTCCTAAAACTGCATGTCGTAAATTTCTGCATCTGTCAAAGTCAAAAGCTACACATCAAGCGGAAATAGAGTCCTCGTTAAATTAACTGCTATTAAGCCAGTTCCTCTGTGAGATAGCTGGTACTCCAGATGGTCTATTCACAACATAATATACATGACAAAGGCCGACGACCCACTTCAAATAAACACGTGTTCCTCGTTGGTTTGCTTTAGTGTTTCAAGTGACCTGCTAGTAGTAAGTTAGTAGTTAAACACCGCGCAACTAAGCAACCGCGACGACCCAGGGCAGTCGAGAGCGCGCGCATTGCACGCACGCGCTTGCTTTTTCTCGCTCCCTCTCGACTCGCACACACACACAACCATATCTGTTATAATAATGTTTAAATAAATTACTAACTAATTAATATCTTTTTTCTTTACTTATGTGACGGCTGTCAGTCAGTGTCTGCACGATGCAACAAAACATCGCGAGCACAAAGCTTCCCCAGGCGCGTGCTCATTAGCGCGCGACGACACATGATACTTGCCGCATGATGATACATTACAAGTGCCTACACTTCCATCGAGATGAACTTTTAATTCAAGAGTCAATGTTCTTCCGAGACTGGCTCGGATAATTAGCTAAGTAGCCTACAATGAAAACTAAGACATGTAAGATACTTTCCGCTGAAGAAAAATACTTAAGAGGGTTGGATTTAGGTCTAGTTAGATGTTTTTTTTAGAGGTGTTTTGGGCACTTGTTACACGCTAAACCATCTTAAGGTCAAGCTGGAAGACCAGGTAAACCATCATAAACAATAATCCTGCACAACATGGTATTTCAACACTGTAAAAAAACGTTGCTGCCTTAAATTTTTATGTACAATTAACTTGGATGTTTAAGTCATTTCAACTTAATTAACATTAAACTGACTATATAAAAAAAATGTGTTGAATCTTGCATAAAAGTTGAAAATTGCTTAACTTATTTTAATGAGTTAAAGCAATGTAAACACATATGTTGTCATAATTTATTGATCATACTTAGAGAATATTCTTGGGTTTCTTGGATTGTCTGTATATTTATTGATTCACTGCAGTAAAAAGCATATATTTACAGTGTTTGTTTTTTGTTTTGTTTTTTTGTTTGTTTTAAATCTCCCAATATGTAAAGATGCTAGATTGTAGGAAGTACAATCTGAAAGGCTATATTAAAATCCATGAAAGGCTATATTGAAATCCATGCCCATGGGCACAACACATTCTGTCATTGTTATTGTGTTATATTCAAATATTGTACAGTGTCAGACCAGTTTTTCCAGATGACAAACCTCTGTTCGGAACAGACATTGAAATGCATAGTAAAAAAGATCATCACAACAAAGAGACATATGTTGTCTCGCTATTCAATGGCAATACAACTTAAATCCACCCATCTTTATGTTTTTATCTAGTACCCAGGTGCAAAAGGAGGTGGATTTAGGTACTCGTATGGTAATTCTCTATCTGCAAAGTTGGGAATACCGTCAGATGACCGACAATCAGATAACTCCTGATATTCATTTTCCGCCTGTTGTTTAGGGTTCATGGTACTGCTGTCCATAGCAGGAAGAGTCGGATCCTCCTGACACGCATCTTTGGGGATCTCCTCATACGTGTGATCTTCAGAGTGTTTCTTTTTAAGCTTTTTCTTAATTTGCGCCAGGCTCAAGACCACAGGTTTCAAATGTTGTTGGTTTTTCTGTTGGGTACGGCCTTCAACGGGTGAGCTGGCTGCGATTTGATGTTTGTCAGGGCTTACCGACGTCAACCCTTGCGATCTGTCGGCCTCCGCGGTTGCTTGCGGGCGACTTGGCAAGCACATTCTGGGCGGTAACTGTGGTGGCGTGTCATGAGTTGTGGAAGTGAATATTGTTCTAGGCTTAGGAACAGGCTTTGTTGGCTGATCCTGAAAAAAATATAAGATTTTGTTTAGGTGCAATACCAAAAATAGCCACCGGGTGACATACATTCCACTGAATTTTGATTTAAATTTTTATGCGTTCTCCTGTCACAAATGAATACATTTCTGTCACAATATCACTTATATCACAAAACAGTCAACAAATATGGAACCTTGAGTCTCAGAACTTTCCTACGATGTGTTTTGTCAAGATTAGAAAAACATTTGATCTTAAAAAAGTGCAGTAAATTTTGTAATATGAAATACGACACGGCCCACTACGGGGAGGAGCCCGCTTCCATGGTAATAATTGAAAAAATATATATATATATTTTACAGGTTGAATGTTGAGGGTTTAAGTCTAATTTGTGATGATTACTAAAATATGTGATAAGAAAAAAAAAGGCAAACAAATGCTAGCTGGACAACCTGTTACTTTAAAGGGGTCATATAATGCCATTTTTGTACAAGCTAATATGATTCTTTAGGGTCTAAATTAAAAGTTTGTAATATACTTTAATTAAAAATTCTCATTAGTATTGTAAGAAAACACTTATTTTACCTGGTCAAAAACAGCTCTGTTTTCAGCACGCCGTTTCAGTGCATATGCCTTTAAATGATCATGAGCTTTGCTCACCCCGCCTCTCTGTTCTGTGCGTACACGTTTGTAACACAATACCATAACGTGTTGTTCATTATAAACGTGGGATTATGAATTATATGGAGAACGTCGTACATAGAAAACATGCAGTAATGTACCCTGAGTTCAAACCTTAGACTCATTCATCGTGAAGCGATTTGCAAAGATATAAATATTAATATAAAGTTTAATAAAACGTTACACTCACTTCAGTTGTTCTAGAGGTTCAGCAGGAACACGAATATCTGGTACCGATTCTTTATTCAGGAGCAGCTGCTTAGCAAAACCAGCTTTATACTGATCCTCGTTTATAAAGCAGTCTGGTGAGAAATGATTCGCGCAAATATGAGAGCAGTGACGTTGCTCGTGGGGAATATTCCCTTCGAAAACAAACTCAGCCACTGCGTCTTCAGCGGTTCGGATTTAGGAACATTAAAATGACTGCTGTATTCGTTATTGCACCCTAGAACAGAACACCACAATCGCTTAGACGCCATTCTGCTCATAGACAGTGCTCCAGCATATCAACAATGACCGCGCCGGTCCGCGCAGACTATGATTGACAGCTCTCACGAGCGAGGGCGGGTCTGTGTGGAAACGCGCCTATCAATCAACAATCGCGGGAGGGGCGTCCGACCGTGTGACGTCACAGGCTCGAACAGCTCAATTTGAGATTTTTTAGATTTGGATTTTTATCATTATATGATGGTTGTGTACAGGCACTGCCAACACACATTTCAGTACAATCAACTTGAAAAAGTGCATGTACCATTATATGACCCCTTTAAGGGTTAGTTCACCCAAAAATTAAAATGATCCTGTCTGTGTATATGACTTTCTCCTTTCAGCCAAACACAATCTATGTTTTTTTTGAAGCCCAAAAAAGCACATCCATCCATCATAAAAGTAATCATACGGCTCCAGGAGGTTAATTAAGGCCTTCTGAAGTGAAGTGATGTGTTTTTGTAAGAATAGCAACTGTATAATAATAACAGTCAGAGGTCACTCTTCCACTGGAACTAGACTCACATACGGCCATTACCAGAAGCCAGTGATTATAGTTTATAAAGTTATAAATATGGATATATTTCTTATAAAAACGCATCGCTTCACTTAAGAAGGCCTTTATTAACCCCCTGGAGTCGTATGGGTTACTTTTATGATGGATGGATGTGCTTTTTTGGGCTTCAAAATCTACCATTCGCTTCCATTATAAAGCTTGGAAGAGCCAGAATATTTTTTTATATAACTCTGATTGTGTTTCACTGAAAGAAGAAAGTCATATACACCTAGGATGGCTTGAGGGTGAGTAAATTATTAAATAGTTTTCATTTTTGGGTGAACTAAGCCTTAAATTCACAATTATTATAAATAAAATATATTGTCATTTTAACCTCAAGGACATTATATAATGTACCCTATCTTGATGTTGTATTACCGTGCTCTGTAGATTCAAAGTGGTCAATTCCGTCTCCAAGCTTGGATACAGTCTCGCAGAAGGACTTGAAGGTAGCGCAGGCACATCGGTTTGGAGCGCCGAAGTCGCGTTGTGTTCTGAGATATCTGAACGAGGCGTATGTGCTTGTGTTGGAGAATTTATCCATTCAACCTGTCCAGCGTTTAGCTCTTTCTTTCGAGGCAAAAACAACTCGGCGTAGTTGGTTTTGCCGCCCTGCACACAAATGAATCATGTTGAAACAAAGATTACAGTTATTGTTGATGATGGAAATAAACATTGTCTCCTTGCTCTGTCATGTTGTTGATTGGGTAAACAGCAATTGCATACTATTTAACACTGAAACGGTGTGCAAAACTTATACACACTCACACGCATATTTAATACATAACATTAAATGATACCATTTTTTTTTCTATTAAAAGATGAAAAGTGGTCCATGGTTGCCAGCTCTAACTAGATTGGTTAATCTTGATGGATGACCATAACTTGACCAACACACAACATTGCAACTTGCAAGTGCAACTCTATACCTGTTCACAAGCCACAGTCAGCAGTTCGTTGTAGGGTAAAATGGGGCTTCTGCGGTGGAAGGCCACCAAGTCATGGAGGGAACGATAGTGTGTACTTTCTCCCACTATAATAAACTGGTTATCTGGCAAGACGTCAATCATGAAGTGTCTGAAGCGATCTTCAGCTCTAGGAGAAAGATATTTATAGATAACCTTTAGTGAATACATGTTTGATTTGTGGACTCAATTGTGTACAGTAATGATGCGAGTCAAACTTCCTTATTGTAAGGATTCATAACTGGCAACAATAGCCACATTGACACAGACTTACCGATAAGATAATGTATAACCCACTCTGCTCTCACTAACACGAATGAGGAAGTAACCAGGAGGCTTGCACTTCAACTCATCCTCCGCAGCCCTACAATACAGAACTATTTTATTTGACTGGTTTTAACCCACCTGATTTTCTGCTCTTTGACATCATCATGTTCATGATAACACATAGTCTGAGCATTCAAGCACATATTACACAGTCTATCTGCTTATTTTTGTAACATAATACAGTGTTCAGTCCATTACTTCCTGGATATTATGCCGTGGAACCATTCTGGAACAATTCCATTCGTCAAAATGCTGCTGCGCTGGAATTCTGTGAACCAGGCGAACGCTGCATCACTGCTGTCGCACGGTAAAGGCACAGCCATGACATCCAGTGTCCTAAAGGAACAAATCGTTTGATGGAAAAATGTACAATTTAGGTCAATTACACTTTTCTGATGTGTTAAAATGCTTAAAAATACATTAAAGTAATTCATTCAGACAATTACTTGAATGACCACTTCTATGATGTACATGTTTTCAGTATCTGAATTAAAATCATTTACAATATTTTTTTTATATATAGTTGAACTGTCCAGAGAGTTTTAGAATAAAGAAAAAAGTGTGAACAAAAGGCTTAAAATTTAAATTATAAGAATAATATCCCTGAATGATTAACTGTTAAAGTAAATAAAATAAAATATGAACACATCATCTACAGGAAGGTATAAATATTTAGAATAGGCTAGTCCACACAATATTGATTAGCAGATTCATATTTTTCGTCATAATGACTCACAAACTCGTGATTACTGACAATTAAATTACCAAACTTGTTTAAAGGGGATTTTACACCAAAAAAAGTATGTTCAATTTCTCTTAGCGCACTTATTTGCATATAATTCAGTAGGTTATTACAGTAGTAACATATTGGCTATTTGACATGAAAGGTGTCACATAGGCTATATGTTATTTAAAATGCCTGTCTGACACGATTAAAAACAATAATACATAGGTAAAATGTAATGTTTTCATAACACACTCACCTGCCGAGGCACACGTACAGTGACGGCAGTCGACGTGACCTCACCTGTTTAAAAACGGTTGTGTGGGGTGTGGTTTAAAAACAAAGTATGCTACAGCCAGACACAATTTCAGACCACTAGCTAACTATATGAAATATCTACAGCTCTGTACTTTAAGTCATCAGTCGATCTCTGGTGAAATATTATAACCAGTTTACAAACGAGTACTTTTGATTTGTGTGCACTGTGACGTATGACTTTATATAATAAATATTAATTACGCCGTTTAACTTCCTGGACCGAAACCCTAATTAATATTCATGAGGCAAGTCGCACTTAGCATTCAGCAAATCAGGTAGGCCTGCTCGATATACGTCACATAACGTCATTAATATTCATTAGACAAGACTTCCAGCGTTCGCTTAACCTTTGACTCAGCGAATCAGGTAGGTCTGCTCGACAAACGTCACATAACGTAATTAATATGCATGAGCAAAGCTGGGTTCCAACACTGGAAAAACATTATTGTTGGTTTAACCTGGTTGACTTAAAATGTTGTTCATTGAAATAAAAAAAAAGGAGATTGGTTTAATCAACATAAACTCAAAATATTAAGTTATCTGAACCAAATAAATTAACTAAGTTGTTTTGACAAAAGAAAAAATGTTGTGTTTAAGCATGCAAATCCTTTTTTGCAGTGTAGATTCACGTTATGAACGGTCTGGTCGATACAAATGTCATTGTTGTTCTTAGTTTTGTGTCTGGTGATATACTGATAGTCATTTACAGAAAGTGTCACTTTTGTGTGAGATGTTTCTCACAAACTCTGTAGGCAAAAATAAAAAATACAAGGCATAATTTATAGCTTCTGTAAAATCCATAAAATGAGGATCAATTATTAATCTAATTGGACTATTCTAAAAAATAATCAAACGTCTACCCCACAAACAGACTTTTTATAAAAATTTATTACACAGAAAATGGAAAGGAAGCGTTTGAGGCATTTTGAAATAGTCATTTGACAGGAAAAAAAAGCGACAACAGAATTCACAGAAATTTCTAGGGAAGAGCTCATATTTCTTTGGTCTTTGTTTGGTCCCATTCGTGGTGGTTTCACAAAAATACCCAGGCACTTTGACCATGGTAAAACACCATCGCATTATCAATGGAGTAATGTACTGCAGTGCATCCTGTGGCCAGTAGGTGGAGCGCATGATGTACTTATGAGAAACACTGCATTGAAAACGCCCTCATCAACGTCTTCATTTACATTAATATCAAAACTTCAAGTGAATTTCTGCTGAGCACATTAGCATATTCACTTTTCATGTGGTATGTCATAAGGTAATAACGTTGTTTCAGTGGGGGAATTAGCACCTCAGGTTGTTTGGCTAATTTTTGAAAGCAGCGATGTCGAGTCATCTTGGATAGGCCTACTAGCGAAAAAAGAAATACCTCAGACCAAAATTTAAATTATTATTTTTTTCGGTGAAAAAATAGGGCTCAATAGCTAGCGAGTTGGAATTAAGCAGAGTATTTGTGGAATGTTGTAAAAATGGACGTCGTTCTCTCTCATCGTCTCTCTTATAAGCTGTTCAGCTCCTGAAGTGTCTGATCCAGCACTTGATGCATTCCGAGGTTTTCTTCTTTTGCAGTAGATAATTTTTCTGTAAGCAAAAAGAAAAAGAAAAAAATTAGTCAGATGCTGTGACTGTTTAATAAGCATACTATATGAAAATACAGTTTAGTGCCCTAGTTTTGTGGTCTTCACTGTAAAAAAAAAAAGTTGCTGCCTTAAATTTTTAAGTAGGCCTACAATCAACTTGGATGATTAAGTCATTTCAACTTAAATTACATTAAACTGACTTAAAAAAATTATTGAATCTTGAATAACTTATTTTGACGTTAAAACATGTTGTCATATCTTATTGATTGTATAATTTTGTTTACAGTGTAGGGTTCAAACAACCACACAGTGTTATAAGAAAAAATATCACCATTTAATTTGCTTGCACTTGGTCAGTGTGTCAGTAATAATGTGAATTACAATTGCATTTATGCGTTTTATTAAAGAAGAATCTTTCAACTGTGAAGATTAGTATTGTATTAAATATTTTAAAAAATATTATATAAATACAGGTACAAGCATAAAATCAGACAAAACTGAAATGTAACCTCACCTTTGTGGACATCAGAATATAAGAGAGGAGTATAAAAAACTGACGAATATTTAATATATTCTAATATATATCATTTAACACATTTTATCATATTCAATATATTTAATAAAATGTATAATATTTAATATATAAGAAGATATTTTATTTTACATATATTTTCTTCTTAATTTAATTAATTTTTCTTCTAAACTGCATTATAAGATCTGATCTGAGAATTATTGAGCATATTTTGTGTAAAATTCCCAAATTTCCCAAAAGTTCTGACACTTTTTGACTAAATGAATTTCAATGATCCAGTCATTCATGATTAATGGATAATAATTTTTTTTTAATCATACATTTACAATCAAGTAAAATATGAATTTACAATCAAGTAAAATATTTCATCTAAGTCTAAAAAACTAATATTAAAATTCCCTGATATTACCAGGAATTTCATGAACTTAGGAACTCTTACCAATCTTCATAATGAAACATTATCAATGACAACAGAAGATTGAGAGTCTGAAATGAAACAAGGGTGTTTTATTGAGACTAGCGAAGACACACTGAAGAAAATGAAGCACGCATGAAGAAAGTGGCAAGAAATTTGAGAAAGCAGGAGATGCATCAGAGCGGGACAGAGATGGATCTACAGGGAGGTCATGTCATTGAGAGCATGGTCCAGCTCCTCAGAGATGGCTTTATACTTCAGCTTCTGAGCATAGAGTTCATCTGAAGATCGGCAGGAAAAGCAGGAAAGCGAAGGATGAGAAGCAGCAATGGAGAGAAACCAAATGAAAAAGAGAAAGACAAGAAGTTAATGGAGAGAGACTAAACATGAAACTCACAGAGGTCATGTTCTACCAGTAACAATCTATAAGCGAATCGTGTTCAAAACAAAAATGACTGTTAAAAATTTCCATCCGGCCCAAAGAAGATATGCTCCCTACTAGTTACTTTTCCTATTCATATATACTACTTTTATTAAGCAAATGCAGAGTTCAGTCTCGTAAAGAGCTGACCGGCGCTGTAGGGAACAGACATACTTCATTTTTCTTGGGATCAGTGGCGGCTCCAGACAATTTTGATTGGGGGGGCAATGGGGGGTCCTGGTCATTTCAAGGGGGGTCTCATGAAAACCAACAAAAAATACAGTGGACACGGCTAATAACTGCATATTGCTGCTACTTAGCAACAAAAACAACACAGCATATCAACTACTTTGTTTTTAATCAATCAATTGCAGTTTACAAACAATATGCTACTTAACAAATGGTAAATGGTAAATGGACTGCATTTATATAGCGCTTTCACAGACCCAATGGCCACCAAAGCGCTTTACATATTGCCTCACATTCACCCATTCACACACCGACGGTTTTTTGTTTTTAATTAATTAATCAATTGCAGTTTGCAAACAATATGCTCGAACTTTAATTGCCATAGCCACACCCATGACAGAAAACATATTTACAAAATAGTATCCTCCTCATCCTCCAATTCCTCGGTGTCCTCTGTTTCCAGTCTTTACTAAGAAATCCTATGAAAAATTATTTACAAAATCTTCTGCAGGACAGTTCAATTCTTTACAATAATATAATATTATAAAAGAAAATTAAGCTGTTACACTGAGATGGTTTAGGAAAACCATAAAGTGTTTTTGTACAGTCAATTAATTGTACAGGCAGCATTAAACCATCAAAGTTAAATGATTGTTTATAGCTTATGAATTTCCTAGCCTATATTTTTCTTTAGCAGGGGGTTTCAAACTTTTTAATGGCAATGAGCCCTAAACAATACCCTTGTGAGATTCTTTATTTAGGCTTATAATATAATAAAATATATGCCCAATATAATATAATATAAAAAAATGAATTGAAGTATTTGAAGTGATAGTTTAAATGCTTCAATTTGTTTTCATATTATATTATTATAATATGAAAACAAACTGAAGCATTTACTGTAAATAGCTAGATCTAATAGCTAAATATTTTCAAGAAAAGTCAATATGTGAACTCTTAAATAGTTTCAGGCATGGTTAGATTAGGCTACTATAAAAATCTATGTAAACTAATGATGTATTTTGAGTTTGCACGCGGGTGGGTGTCTGTAATTGTTACCGTTCTGTGTCCATCATCCGTTATTTCCACCACTTTAAACCACTCTTCTTTAAAACATGATATTGGGATTTTATTTCACATGTCTTTGCGTTTCTCGTCGCCTCTCGTATTGAGATATTTGGTCCGCACACACGACTCACTGCCAATCACACGCGCTCACATCATTCTCTTTCTTTGAAACCTGTAAACTGCACTCACCAGTTTGAGCACTGCAATTATTTCTCACATACAATCAAATGGATTTCCCCACACATTTCGCGTCAGTCCTCTGCGTGGCATATTATTCTTTTCTGCGCGGCCGCGGCATCAGAAGTGCACGACCGCGCACGCGCGCAGCTTAGAGGGAACGTGATTCTTATGTTTATATATTTTGTACGTCGAAGAAATTATTAATTATTATTGTTCTGCGTAGTTTGAAGATAAACATTTTTAAATATTTATCCCGGATATATATTTTTTTAATCAGGAAGGGGGTGGGGGGTCAAATGGGGGGTCAAAGCATTTTTTGGGAGGGTCTTGAGACCCCCCAAGACCCCCCCTGGCGCCGCCTCGGCTTGGGATAGAAGGAAAACCAGGCTTGTTTAAACCAATTCTATATACCGAGTCAGTCGAATATATATCATCTTCCAGTAAAGGGTTCAAGCGTTTGAAACATGAGCCTGCTGGAACTGATAAAATGGCTCTAAAATAATATGGTGTTGTGTGTTCCAGAAGATTTTATGGCTGTTATATAGACAGGGAGGATGACCCGCCTTTGACCTGTAAAACCCCATCCACTCAGGACTTTTCAATGTGTCCTGCTTCGCCACTGGTCATTTCTGAAGGTAAAAAGTTCATTGAGCCACTTCCTTACCTTCACTGATGTTTGCATAGGAACAGTTTAGTCTATTGATGCTTGCCAAGTCAAACTATAGTCAAAAATTACCGTTTTGAAAAAATGCTACATCATAGGTTACTAAGAAAAAAACACTAAGTATATTAAATCTATTTAAGAAGAAAATTGTCATTTTTAAATGATTTTCAGTATTAAAGTATTTCTTTCTATTAGGATGACAGCAAAAGTCGAAGACAAAAATCCATGTAAAATGGTTCTTGTGCACTCTAATGATGATTCGTGTATCAGCAAATTAGTTTGAACCAGTTCATTTCATCAGAACAAAGCAATTTGCTAAAATAAACCAACCAAACTAATCAAATCTAGTTTTTGAACCAGTTCATTCCACCAGAACGAAGCAATTCTCTAAAATGAACCACCCAAAACAATCAAATCTGGTTTTGTAGCTAGTTTGTGTCATCTGAATGAAGTGATTCACTAAAATAAACCACCCAAACCAATCAAATCTGGTTTGGCTTATGACAGCATAAAAGTCGAAGACAAAAATCCATGTAAAATGGTTCTTGTGCACTCTGAATTTGATTCATGTATCAGCAAATTAGTTTGAACCAGTTCATTTCATCAGAACAAAGCAATTTGCTAAAATTTACCAACCAAACTAATCAAATCTAGTTTTTGAACCAGTTCATTCCATCAGAATGAAGCAATTCTCTAAAATGAACCACCCAAACCAATCAAATCTGGTTTGTGTCATCTGAATGAAGTGATTCACTAAAATGAACTTTCCAAACGAATCAAATCTAGTTTGAACCAGTTAATTTTTTTCTGAATGAAGCAATTCACTAAAACAGACCACTAGTTGATTCTGACTGAATGAAACGATTTGCTCAAACGAACCGTCTTAATCAACCGATTCACTTAAATGAATCAACTTTCCCAGCTTTTTGTCATGCTATACACACTAATTATCGGAGAAACAATTAATTATTGAACAAATGACTAGTCTAACTGGTTAATTAAATCTTCTTTACCAATGTTTTTTCCCGCGCTAACCTCCGCACTTATCGAATATCGAATTCCTGCAAAAGCGACAGTGTTTTGAAAACAGCTACAGTGAATATTTTAGAACAAGTTCACTGAAATGACCCATTTGAATGAAGTGATTCACTACAACAAATCATTCAAACAAACCGATTCACTCAAACGAATCAACTTTGTCATTCTACATGGCTACTACAGTAGTTAGGTCATCGCTCAATTCTGGTAGAGCTACAGTGTTTTGAAAACAGCTAGACATTCTTCTGGAAAATGTAGTTAAGTTAGCAGAATCTCTATGTTCAACTCCCCAATATTGCAAAAGAGTTGAACTTTTAGCTCCACAGAAAACTGAGTTAACAGACAGATTAAACCCATAGAATTAATGAACGTGTTCATACCTTCCAGGTCATCGATAGATTTCTCCAGTTTGGTCACTGACCTCTCGGCAAACTCAGCACGGGTCTCGGCCTGATAAACACAAAAAGGAAGTTGAAGGAATGAGAAAGGGCAGCTTATCTTTGACGTTGTCTCATTTGTTGACTTCTTTACCTCCTTCAGCTTGTCACTAAGAACTTTGATTTCCTCTTCATACTTGTCTTCTTTTTCTGAGTACTGAAACATGCAAACAAAGACAGATACAGCAAATCCATTTCACTTTCTGTCAACATTGAATAAAATTCGTATCGCTCTCAGAGCTATTGTGTTGTCAGAACTTTAAGTCCATAAATTACCATGTTTCAGTTTCAAAGCGATTATCAGGCTCTGAAGTTAAGTGATTATTACTGAGGTCTGAAATTGTGATATTAACAGATAAAAGAGAGATGTTGACTTACTTTCTCTGCCTGAGCCTCTAGGGATTTAAGGTTGTTGGTAACGTTTTTCAATTCCTCCTCCAAATCACTAGCTTTGCTGGAGGTATTTGAGCAGAAAACAATGTTTTAACTGGTCAAGCAACAAACATTCACATTCTAGTCTATTTAAAGCGTGAGAATAGGTAGACGATACCATTCAGCGACTTCGGCTCTCTCCTCGGCTCGCTCCAGCTCGCCCTCGAGAATCACCAGTTTACGGGCCACCTGTAGCAAAGATGGCGTTCAAACGAAGAGCTTCAAATGTCAAACATCTGGAAGTGGTGTTCCTCTAGGCGCTTGTACCTCACCTCTTCGTATTTGCGGTCGGCCTCCTCTGCGATGTGTTTAGCCTCTTTCAGCTGCATCTCCTGGATCTCCATCTTCTCTTCGTCCTTCATGGCGCGGTTCTCAATGACCTTCATGCCCCTGGAGGAGAAACAAGCGGTGAGCGAGACATCACTGATGATCTCTTTAGCTAATGTAGATCAACAAATTTGCTAATCTTTATTTCAAAATCAAAATGGTCCTGAAATCTGGAAATGAGAATTGACCAATGAATTTCCACCAGCTTTCCAGTCGTGTGCGATTAATGAATAAGGTTTTTTATTTTTAATGAATAAGGTTTTTTATTTATTTTGTACATTTTGATTTAAACAAATTTGCTAATGAATATTCAAAACTATTTGTTAACTGGTTTGACAAATTCATGGAATCTTCAACATAAGGGTGATTTCCAAGCATTGAATTTACGAAAATTCATGGAAAGCCATGTTAATTTCCTGTTTGCTCAACCTTAATATGAATATCATTGGTTCTTAATACAGTGTAAAACAAAAGAAGTTGCTGCCTTAAATTTTTTAAGGGATAGTTCACTTTGAAATAAATTTTTGATGTTTTAGCTTACCTCAAGGGCATCCAAGATGTAGGTGTCTTTGTTTCCGCAGTAGTTTCAATTTTGATATTTTTAGGTCAAACCGTTCTTGTCTGTCAGTGATATAATGCAGGTCTATGGTCACCACCTCAAAGAGCATGCACAGAGTGTCACGGTGTTTGAATTCATTGTATCCTTCTTGTCTCGTGTCATTGTTGTTGTGTGTGTGAGTGTGGGCGTGGTCTCCCGTCCGTACCGCTGATCAGTGGCTCCAGCTGCATTCCATTCCAGCACCAGCTGAACCTGATCAGCGACGCCTATTTATACTCACTGTTTTCGTCTCGTCCTTGTCAGATCGTTGTGATGTGTTCCTGGTGTTCGTTCCTGTTCCTGTCTGGCTGTTTCTTGTACCTGCGTTCATGTCCCGGATATCTTCGTGTTCCTCGTCATAATTCTACAGCACTCTCTGGACTGGAAATCAACACTTCACCCTCATCACATCACGTCACCGGCTTCCATCAAGGTCCCTGCATCGCTTGCCCGTCCCTGTGTGTCTGAGACTGTGACTTTCTGGCTACTTTATTCACTGTAAATAAACATCACTTACCTGCTCTTGTCTCCACTCTCGTTCCTTCCCGTGACAGAACGATCTGACCAGGCATGGAGGCAGCAGGTGATTCGGAGATCACTTTTAACGAGTTTGTTTCTCGCACTGTCAATCGGATGGATTCTCAAGAGGAGTGTATCTCGAACACAGGGCGGGCAGTACAAGCTTTAGTGATGCAGGTGTCCGAGCTCACCCAACAGCTTCAACATCTTCGGGGTCCCACTGCGCCGCCCACACCGCCGGTTCAACCCACACCACCGGAGCCGTCCTTCCAGTCGGAACCTCGTCTTCCTGTCCCGGAGGCTTACGGAGGGGAGCCCAACTACTGCAGGGCGTTTCTAACCAGGTGCTCTATCCATTTTTCGCTCCAACCTCGCACCTTCAGCAGCGAAAGGTCCCGTGTTGCATTCGTGTTGACGCTACTGACTGGGAGGGCGGCGTTATGGGGAACTGCGGTGTGGGAGAACCAAGACCCATGCTGCGCCTCGTTCGAGGCACTCGCCGAGGAGATGAGGAGAGTATTTGACCGGTCGGTTGCGGGACGAGAGGCAGCCAGAGTCCTCGCCGATTTACACCAGGGTGACCGACCGGTCTCCGATTACTCCATTGAGTTCCGCACGCTGGCGGCCGAGTGCCAGTGGAACGAGGAGGCGCAGTGGGACATGTTCCTGCGTGGGCTGGCTGACCGTGTCCAAAGGGAAATTTACACTCTGGACCTACCCACAAGTTTGAATGGACTTATTGATCTGGCTCTCAGAGTGGATGCTAGACTCGCCAGAATGGAACGGCTAGCTCCCCCGGCTCGTTTTCCTGGAGTCACGGAACCCCCACGAGCCAGCGGCAGAGACACGGTCAGCCCCGTCGCCGATCACGAGCCCATGCAGGTGGGTAGAGCTCGGCTTTCCCGGGAGGAGAAGGAAAGGCGGAGGTCCCTCAGGCTCTGCCTTTACTGCGGAGGGGCGGGCCATTTCGTACATGACTGTCCGTTAAAAGGCCAAGCCCGGTAGTAACATTGAGGCTACTATCGGGTGGGATCTCCGCCGAGAAGTCCTCACCACCATCATCCACGCTCCTCCCGGTAAGACTGAGATGGATGACCGGTACTCACGACTGTCATGCACTTCTGGACTCAGGGGCTGAGGGAAATTTCATGGACCGTGAGTTGGCACATAAACTTTTCATTCCGGTCACTTCTCTTGATCACAGCATATCCGTCAACGCTCTCAATGGTCAAAGACTGTCCAACATTGCTCTCACTACCGGCCCCATAACACTTACTACATCTGGTAATCACACTGAGACACTGTCATTTCTCATCCTGGACTCGCCCCTGACACCCATTGTCCTTGGTCACCCCTGGCTCACATTACACAACCCCCGTATTGACTGGCGCCAACACTCCATCTCCGAATGGAGCACTCAATGTTATAAGTCTTGTCTTACGTCTGCCTGTTCGTCTGTACCTGTTTCTGTGTTTCAGGAGGAGACAGTGGATTTATCCAACGTGCCCGTTGAGTACCTGGACCTGAAGGAAGTGTTCAGTAAGTCCCGTGCTGCTTCTCTTCCTCCTCACCGTCCCTATGACTGTGCCATAGATTTACTGCCAGGTAAGTCTCCGCCTAAGGGCAAGTTATATTCACTTTCTGTTCCAGAAAGGGAGGCTATGGAGAAATATATTTCTGATTCTCTAGCGTCTAAATTCATCCGGCCTTCCTCTTCTCCAGCGGGGGCGGGGTTCTTTTTTGTGGGGAAGAAGGATGGTTCTCTGCGACCTTGTATTGATTACCGGGGGTTGAACAACATCACGATAAAGAATACCTATCCTTTACCGTTGATGTCTTCAGCCTTCGAGAGGTTGCAGGGAGCATCGATCTTCACTAAATTGGACTTACGTAATGCCTATCATTTGGTTCGCATCAGGGAGGGGGATGAATGGAAAACCGCTTTTAATACCCCCAGGGGCCATTTTGAATACTTGGTTATGCCGTTCGGGCTGTCCAACTCCCCAGCGGTTTTCCAGGCACTCGTCAACGACGTGCTGCGAGATATGGTTGATCAGTTCATATATGTCTACCTGGACGACATATTGATTTTTTCATCTTCTCTCCAGGAACATGTGCAGCACGTACGACGAGTGCTTCATAGACTGCTAGAGAATGGGCTTTTTGTCAAGGCGGAGAAATGCGATTTTCATGCACAGTCTGTTTCTTTTCTAGGGTACATCGTGTCGTCTGAGGGAATGCGCATGGATCCTGACAAGGTTAAGGCTGTGGTAGAATGGCCAAGCCCAGACTCCCGTAAGGCCCTACAGAGGTTTCTGGGGTTCGCCAATTTCTATAGGCGTTTCATTCGCAATTTCAGCCAACTAGCCGCGCCTCTGACTGCCTTGACCTCCCCCAGAACGACGTTCAGGTGGTCCGATACAGCTGAGGCTGTATTCGCCAAACTGAAGAGCCGCTTCGTTTCGGCTCCCATCTTGATAGCCCCTGATCCCTCACGTCAGTTCGTGGTGGAGGTCGACGCGTCAGAGGTGGGGGTAGGCGCAGTTCTTTCCCAGCGCTCTTCCACAGACGACAAGATGCATCCGTGCGCGTTTTTTTCCCATCGTCTATCACCTGCTGAACGTAACTATGACATTGGCAACAGGGAGTTGTTGGCGGTCAAGCTAGCGTTAGAGGAGTGGCGTCATTGGTTAGAGGGATCGGGGGTACCTTTTATCGTCTGGACTGATCATAAGAACTTAGAATATATCAGCACGGCCAAAAGACTCAACTCCAGGCAAGCTCGGTGGGCTCTTTTTTTCGGTCGTTTTGATTTTTCTCTATCGTACCGCCCAGGTTCCAAAAACATCAAGCCTGATTCCTTATCTCGTATTTTTGACCATTCCGAACGCCCGCTTACTCCCGAGTGCATTTTACCCGAGACCCTAGTTGTTTCCACACTCACATGGGAGATCGAGTCGAAGGTCAAGACGGCCTTAGAAGGGGTAACGCCTCCGCCCGGTGGCCCACCGAGTCGATTATTTGTGCCGGAGGGGTTACGGTCCGACGTCATCAAATGGGGGCATTGTTCTAACGTGGCTTGTCATCCAGGGGTTAATCGCACCTGTTTTTTGGTTAAGCAACGATTCTGGTGGCCACTTATGGCTCGCGACATTCGCAGCTTCATCTTGGCTTGCTCGGTTTGTGCCACTGGTAAGACTTCCAATCGACCCCCGGATGGGTTACTCCAACCGCTGTCTGTCCCTTCGAGACCCTGGTCCCACATCGCGCTAGATTTCATTACCGCCCTCCCGCCCTCCCAGGGCAAGACGGTCGTTTTGACCGTAGTGGACCGGTTCTCGAAGGCGGCTCATTTCATCCCCTTGCCCAAATTACCCTCTGCCAAGGAGACAGCGGTTACTGTGGTGGACCACGTCTTTCGCTTACATGGCCTCCCGATTGACGTGGTTTCCGACAGGGGTCCCCAGTTTGTGTCCAAATTCTGGCGTGAGTTTTGTAAGTTACTGGGAGCGACTGTCAGTCTGTCCTCTGGGTTTCACCCCCAGAGCAATGGCCAAACCGAGAGAGCCAACCAGGATCTGGAAAGAATGTTGCGATGTTTGGTCTCCAAGAATCCTTCCTGCTGGAGTCAACAGCTTTCCATGGTTGAGTACGCTCATAACTCGTTGCCAGTGTCATCCACGGGCCTATCTCCGTTTGAGTGTAGTCTAGGTTACCAGCCACCGATTTTTCCTAGCCTGGAATCCGAAGTCGCGGTCCCCTCCGCTCACGCCTTCGTCCAGAGGTGCCACCGCACATGGACCAGAGCCCGAGAGACTCTGCTCCAGGTGAGGGCGCGCACCAAGGCTAAGGCCGATCGCCACCGGTCGAAGCCTCCCGTTTACGTCGTTGGTCAAAAAGTGTGGCTTTCAACCAGGAACATTCCTCTCCGCTCCGTTTCCAATAAATTAGCTCCTAAATTTATCGGCCCGTTTCCTGTCACCAAGATCCTTAGCCCGGTGGCAGTCCGAATCAAACTTCCTCCGGCGTACAGGAGAATTCACCCCGTCTTCCATGTCTCCAAATTAAAGCCCGTGTTTCATTCACACTTTAATCCGCCTGCCCCGGTCCCCCCCCCGCCGCGACTCGTAGATGGGGAACCAACATATTCGGTTAGTCGTATACTGGACTCTAGAAGGAGGGGACGCGGATTCCAGTATCTGGTGGACTGGGAAGGTTACGGTCCGGAGGAGAGAAGTTGGGTACCTGCTAGGGACATCCTGGATCACTCCCTTATCGATGATTACAATCGACAGGTAAGGGCGTCTGGGAACGCCAGGAGGCGTTCCTAGGAGGAGGGGTACTGTCACGGTGTTTGAATTCATTGTATCCTTCTTGTCTCGTGTCATTGTTGTTGTGTGTGTGAGTGTGGGCGTGGTCTCCCGTCCGTACCGCTGATCAGTGGCTCCAGCTGCATTCCATTCCAGCACCAGCTGAACCTGATCAGCGACGCCTATTTATACTCACTGTTTTCGTCTCGTCCTTGTCAGATCGTTGTGATGTGTTCCTGGTGTTCGTTCCTGTTCCTGTCTGGCTGTTTCTTGTACCTGCGTTCATGTCCCGGATATCTTCGTGTTCCTCGTCATAATTCTACAGCACTCTCTGGACTGGAAATCAACACTTCACCCTCATCACATCACGTCACCGGCTTCCATCAAGGTCCCTGCATCGCTTGCCCGTCCCTGTGTGTCTGAGACTGTGACTTTCTGGCTACTTTATTCACTGTAAATAAACATCACTTACCTGCTCTTGTCTCCACTCTCGTTCCTTCCCGTGACACAGAGAAGTCCAAATTAAACATGATTTAATGACTCGTAAATGTAAGTACACATTGATGGCCTAAGACACGAAACGAGCGGTTTGTGTGAGAAAACGAACAGTATTTATATCGTTTTTACCTCTTGTAACGCACAGACCGAAGCGCCCGCGCCCTCAGATCACTTGGACGTGGCTGTGGTTACAAGAGGTAAAAACGATATAAATACTGTTCGTTTTCTCACACAAACCGGTCGTTTCGTGTCTTAGGCCATCAATGTGTACTTACATTTACGAGTCATTAAATCATGTTTAATTTGGACTTCTCTGTGCATGCTCTTTGAGGTGGTGACCATAGACCTGCATTATATGACTGACAGAATAGAACGGTTTGACCTAAAAATATCAAAATTGAAACTTCTGCGGAAACAAAGACACCTACATCTTGGATGCCCTTGAGGTAAGCTAAAACATATCAAAAATTTAGTTCAAAGTGAACTATCCCTTTAAGTACAATAAACTTGGATGTTTAAGTCATTTCAACTTAAATTACATTAAACAGACTAAAAAATAGTTGAATCTTGTGTAACCTATTTTGATGAGTTAAAGCAATGTAAAAACATGTTGTCATAACTTATTGATCATATGTTTTACGGTGTATGTATTTATATATTAAAGTATTTATATATTAAATAATAAAAGGTGGGTAAGCCTGCTTCCATAGGTAAAACCCTCTCCAACCACAATTTCTCTTGAAAATGAATTCCGTAAAATTGTGTGGATTGTTTTCCAACGAGAAAAAGGTGTTTGGTCCACAGAAGCCATTTAGTTTTCACCCTAAGCACAGCAATTCATTCCTTCCACCATTATTCATGAATTAATGGTTTCCATTGACCTCTCGCTTTCGTCTGCTGCTTTCTCCGCCTCTTCCAGTTTCTGCAGTGCAGTTCCCAGCCTCTCCTGAGCCCGATCCAGTTCCTCCTCCACCAGCTGAATTCTGCGGTTCAGGCCCGCCACATCACCCTCAGCCTGTCAAAGAAAAGGTCAAAGGTTACTTATATACAATTATATACCGACTTTAAATGTAGCAGTAATGTGCATTTATGAAATAAAATAACGCTCTTGTGTTTTTTCAGGTCTTTGGGGATTCTCCCAATGATGCCATGTCATTTTCATCAGTTTTTGCTCAAAGCACAATCAACTGCAAAAGAAAAAACATTTGTATGCCCTTTACGACCACCACCTCCCGTTGTGATTCAAACAAAGATTGGCCTCATAATGAGCACAATGGTGCCTCTGTGACATTTTTCAGTTTTAAAGAGACCTCACAGCCAAACCAACCCACTTACTGCACTGATAATTGCAACTATAATTGTGACAAATATCGCTGTGGCTCTCGCACTGCAGACGCTCCAACTGAGCAAGCGCACAGTTCTCTCAGAACGCTAGGAAAATCTCGCTGCCAGGAAACTGTATCTGGCATCATAAAGTTTAAACTTTAAGTTTAAACTTTAAGAGGCATCGGGGAAAAGTCAAAGGGAGCAAATCGTCCATTTTCTAATCACATCTTTGTTTTGAGTCAGATCGGCTTGTATTTACGGATTTCTACTGCTTCCTATGGCGGATCATTTGGAGCATGAATACTAGTAAACAGATCATGGCTGATGTACCTCACTACATACAAGCTTTTATATACTTTAAGCTTTTTTTGTAGCTGGTTTGCAACTGGATGGCATAAAAAGATCAAACACAAAAACGAATGTAATAGATCATAGTATAGGCCTTTGACTCAAAACCTAACAACTGTTTTTTTCCTCATAATTGTGAATTATATTCTCATAACTTTTTTCTCATAATGTTGACTTTATAACTTGTCCAAATCAACTATCATATATTTTTATCTCACAATGTGACTTAAAGGGATAGTTCACACAAAAATGAAAATTCTGCCATCATTTACTCACCCTCAAGTTGTTTCTTTCTTCTGTTGAACACAAATGAAGATATTTTGAAGAATGTTGGTAACTAAACAGTCGATGGGCCCCCTTGACTTCCATAGTATTTCTTTTGTCATACTATGGAAGTCAATGGGGCCCATCAACTGTCTGGTTACCAACATTCTTCAAAATATCTTCATTTGTGTTCAACAGAAGAAAGAAATTCATACAGATTTGGAAGGTGAGGGTGAGTAAATTACAGAATTTTCTTTTTTGGGTTGAACTATCCCTTTAATAACTTGTTCAAACCAACTCAGACAGCAACATAGTGTCGGCCTGGATCCGGCCCGCATCTGGTACGTGTGGATTCCACGTGTACCAGATGTGGGCCGGACCTGGGCCGACACTGACAGTTGCTGTCTTGGAACTGTCAGTAACCATGTTTCCATCCACTTGTCAATCGAATTATCTGAAGTTCGGTAAAAAACCTCATGCGAATAAAGCTGGTGAAAGTGTGTTTCCATCAAACGGCTTTAAAGCGGATAAAAACCTGTGCGTAATGACGTGACGTCACATGCTGTTTTGCGATCAAATTGGTATATCGAATTGATTTGAGACATGTTAAGGTGTTTCCATTCATTTTCTCACCGAATTGCACAACATTTGCGAACAAAGTTTTACTAGGCAAAATGGATCGCACCATAATAACGTTTCCATCCGCGTTTATCGCATTAGCCGTATATCGATCAAGATAAAATCCGATGAGACCGATCGTATTTCATTTGAGTCGATATTCATGAAATTCAATCGAATTGTACTGTTTCCATAAGGCATTTTTCATTGGATATCACTTAATGCGGATAAATATGTGTGGATGGAAACATAGCTAGTGACTTTATATCTTAAAATATAACTTTATATCTCACAATTACAAGAAATAAAGTCATAATTACGAGATATAATGTTTGATTTCAAGCTATAATGTTTCTTGCAATTGTGACTTTTTTTCTCATAACTGCGACTTTATATCTCAAAATACGAATTTATATTTTGCAATGTGTGAGTTTGCAATATGACTATATCTCACAAAACGCCAATGAATACGCTATTCAAGATTGACATCATTAAAGAAGGGGTCAAATGAACATTTATTCACACACATTTCACCAACACATCACGGGAGTAGGAAGTTAACCCCCTTTCGAATAAAAGACAGCCAGAGAGGGGAGGAGAAAAATGCACAGGAAATGGACACACTCCACATCCTCTCCCCTCCCAACATACTCATTCTCAGGGTCAGGATACTCCCTCATGAGCCGTGCCCTTTCCTTAGTCACTGCGCTCCCTGGTTGCTTTAGCCATATATGGTAAAACAAGCTCTGGAGAATGCTAGTGGTGAAGTGCCAAAAAGTTTTAAAGGCTGAAGAATAGCACAAAAAAAATAAAGCCATATGTTATCGAGAAGCGTCTGGACGCAGCCTTGAACATTTTATCGCGTACAAGACAAACCCAAACGCGCATATGTGTGATATGAGACGGCGACATTCCCAGATCTATGGATTCCCAGGCCTATTTACACCACAATACAGATCTCAGATCTTGTTAGAGACGCAGTGACGTCCATGTCCAATTATACGTTTAGGGTTGAAGTGTGGGGGAATCACCTGGGACTTCTGCTGTCGACTTCCTGAGGCACAGCACTATCGTACGTGACATTGAGCAAACACTTGAGACGAACACTATCAATGTAATGACCTTTTTATGGGCTGATATTATGAAAATAAGGCCTATCAGATGAAAACGAACTGTGGAAATGAAGTACAGGCTCCAGGCTTCAGTCACTACAAGTTAATACTATAAAGTTGCTTACTGGTAAAACAGTCAAAGAGGGAGTTGGAGATGTAAAATTATTAGTTATTTCGAAACTAATGCAAAGAAAAGCAGAATACTGTAGGAGTATTGTGAAGTAAGCAACCACTTGTGTAACTTAACTTTGAAAAGATATGCAAAAAAGGTCTTGATATCATTTTTAACACCATGGGAACCTGTCAATGCAAATTTGAGGAGCATTTCTTTATCTTCCTTTACTTATTTACCAATTTCCTAATGGTCTTTGTACAGGCTACACATATGTTATAGTCATGTTCTTGACTTTTAACCCCACTGTGAATTACGCCTTACATAAATTATGACCATCATGGAGAGGTCATTGGTCACGTCATGACCAAGTCTAGCAGCATTCTGTCACACTAAGAGTGGGAAAACTCCCACTTATGAAAGTAAAGTCAGCGAAATTTGTATTAGAAGTGTCTGACTGCAAACCCCTAAAAGAGAAAGAAGGGAGTTGATTTAGAAGAATGATGGGACCATGGACCTCCCTAACATTTCTCCATTAAATGTAAAAGGCAACAGATCCTTGACAAAGACACACTATTGATCTACAAACACTGGAAGAACAGGACTTTTCTTAAGCAGTGCCAGCTTCCTGCATATCTGCATGGTCATTTGAGTATGAAGAAGGACAACAGGAAACTCCAATGTGGAACAAGAGACAACATCCTGACTCGGTTCCTTTGGGAGCTCAGGATGGGACATCCTTTGGGTCGTTCTTGAATGCAACAAAATCGAATTTTTAACTTCTAAGAAAGATCCACAAACAATTATTCATTGGTTGCGCAAAAACAGGAGTTCAAATGAGAAGAAACAGACTGTAGGTTTCTGGCCGAATTCCTTACAACAGCTTCACAAGGGATGACTCAGAAAATGGTATAAAATGGAGCATCTAAATCCTTCAAGGACTGTGGGGGAGGGGGGCTTCCTTAAGCATCTTGGTATCAAGGAAATATGATCTCACATACAACATTTTGCCATGTTCTTCATCTAAATTAACTAAAAAAATAATAATATTTAATATGACCCCATTACACCAACAAATTAGGTAGAAATCACTCCTATTACTGCAATAACTAGTTTTACTTTGTTTTACTGTCCTGTTGGATTGATCTATGGCTGAATAATACATGATTCGATTATACCAAAGAAAGTCCATTTTAAGAGTCAGATTAGGATATAAGACATATCTCATTAACAGACAGATAGATAGATAGATAGATAGATAGATAGATAGATAGATAGATAGATAGATAGATAGATAGATAGATAGATAGATAGATAGATAGATAGATAGATAGATAGATAGATAACATACTGTTGGTTTTACAAAAGCTTTGTTTTAAAACATGGTTGCCTTAAAATTTTGTGTTCATTGAAATAAAAAATGTAATATAGCCTAAATGATATATTAAAAATAAATTACATAAATTATTTAGGGTTATTTGACAAAATACTTTAATTAAATCTTAAAAATGTAAAGCCCTGTGGGAAATTAGAAAATACTATGTAGGTAAATAACGCAATTCTGTGTAAAAAAAATATACTCAAATGTAGCAATTGTTAGTTAAAACAAATAAATAGTTAATTATGTAAATTAAAATGATTTTAAGACTAAAATAATGGGGTGGAAGTGTAATAAACCTGTATGAGAAAACAGTGAGGCCTAACAACTGCCCAAAGGCAGATTTTGGGGTCGGACTGTCCCTTTGGACCAACGCCTTCATTCCACAACCTCACGTCTGCATCCAGGTCTCACTGTTCACCTAAACATACAATTATAGTCTTCAGCGGAGCCCGGGAGCTTTTTTTGGAACAGTTCACAGAGGTAACCCGTACAAGAATCCGGAGAGTGTAAAGACGGTAAATAAGAACAAAGAAATATGAAGATTTGTCTCACTTTCTCCCGGAGCTCGCGCTCATTGTCCAGCTCGCGCTGTAGAACCAAAGCTCGATCTTCTGCGTCATCCGCCTGCTGCTGCAAAGTCTGGATCTTTCTCTTCACTGCGTCCAAAGAAGTCACACCTGTCATTTTAGATACTTTATTATATTATATTTACAACTAGAAAACAAAACGAGCCGCGACTTTGGTCAGGAAAAATTAAACGATGTGCTACAACAAAAAACTCAAAAAGCTATACAAAAAAATAAATACTTAAAAATTGAAAAGCCTAAAAAATATATATAATCACGAATATAGGATTTAAAAAAATAACGGAATGGCGCTGTAGTTGGATGGCCAGTGTAAAGAAGAAGAAAAAAAAGGAGTGAAAACGACACGAAATGTGCAATCCAAATTCTTCCCAGTCCGGGTCAATACAAAACGGTTCAATGAACGAAAAAAATGTCTTCGCAGGAGGTTACTTCTGTCTCATGGAGTCATTGGAATGTGAGAGAATGTAAGGAGGCAGAACTTCTGCAGAAAAGTTTCAATGTAACTGGAAAAGTGAAGTCCCCGTGACGTCACTTTGGGCGGGGCAACCACTGAGTCACAATTCAGGCTCATTTTATGTTAATTACTTCTTTCTCTTGTCAAAATGTATTCAAAAACGTACTCTTAGAGCTTGTCGTTAATAGTCTTATTTTTATTTTTTATTTTTATTTTTTAAACTTGACTGTTTTTTGTTAATATATTTTTATTTAAAATATTTTAATGACTTTATGCTACACTGTAAAAACATTTTAAACAGAAATTTGACGTGCAAATATATTTTAAATTAACCACAATTTCCTAATTTCAGACGTTTCAAGACTGTTTTTACAGTAGCTGATGGGTCAAATAAAAAATAAGAAAAAAAATTGCAGTTTTCATGTTGTACACCTTTATTTTAGCTGTTTGGCTATCATTTTAAGTAAGTTATATTATTGTAATATCTTATAAATAACTTTATATAATTTCTTGGGAGTTTTCTGAGACAACCTTATTCATTTAAGGTTTAGATTAGGTAGAAATAACACTTCCGCTATTGTAACTTAATGTATTTAGGTTGATTTAATCATATTAAAAAATATTTTTGAATAAAACCATGCCGTTTTAGATTTTTACGTTACCTGACAAAACATTGTTAAACTGTTAAAAACAGTATGTCCTTTTCACTTCTTTTAAGGAAAAAATATTTTGGGATATACACTGTAAACATGATAACAATCATATCAATGTTTTTGTTTCCATCTATTTAACTTGATTTTTATTTATTTTTATTCAAAACATTAAAATTTAAAATTCAAATTAGTTGAAAAGCATAAAGCACTCTCACTGCAGGTTGTTGATTTCACTTACAAATTGAACGCTGCAATTACACACAAGTTTTCGATTACAACCCCCGCAATTAAAACCTCAAATCTTGACGTTACACAACACTTCTTCTGTCACACACTTTCCTCAGAAGTGTGCTTTTGTTTTAAAGACGAGCCAGCGATCTGGAAGCATTGATTTCATTAGTCACAGGAGTGTGGTCCTCCATGTTTGCTTTCGCTGCATTCTTGGGATTCCTGAGCTTCTACACTGCAACCAAAGTCCCAGTCTCCCCTGCTGTTCCCCCGACTTATCAGTTACAGGCATCAAAAAAATCCCTCACTCATTGGTGAACTTATCTTACCTACTTCTTTGGCGTTGTGAATGCAGATGTATAATTAGTTTACAGTTTCCTCTAATGCATGACATGTGGCTTGTCTGGAGCACATTTTCAGGGCAACGCTCCAAAGAACTCGAAAATGTGCTTGTATCCCCAGTTCCAGCCTCGCAGAACATTCTACAGGAAATTAATCTTATGCATTTGTACTGCACTTATTGAATAAAGTTTGATATCACGGTGTGTCCTATAGAAGTATTTTGAGGTCAATAACAACATGAAGAACATCTCTCTTTCCCAAATGGATTTCCCCCCATGCTGGAATCATTAAGGATTCACAAACAACCGATGTGCCCCTCCTCGGCTTCCTTCTCAAACTATGCAGTCATTTCCTTCGAGGTCTCACATTGTGAGGAGTAACCTGAGCTTATCTGAGAGACGGACAGGATGGACCACTTCAGAACCACGCAGGTGTGATTACGACAATTTTCTCACTCGTCCCAAGGCCAAACACGTTCTTACAGGTGGAACGCACTGCGCTTTGATTCATTTAAACTTCAAAGTAACCAATTTGTGCGTTTAAACCTTCAAATTATCTCTTTAATGAGCAATGTGTTCAATTCAAGGCATTACAGAAGTACACCTGAGGAAAGAGGTATTTTTAAAGATTCTTGTGTTGACATGTTTTTTATTGAGGTAAAGCTTTTTATTGTCCCATTTGAAGCACTTTGAAATGGTGCCGTGACCCTGAAATAGACCGGCTGGGTTGACAGGAAGTGAAAGCATCATAACAAAGCCTGAATGACTCGAGTTGTTTATTGTAGAGGACTCATGTCTGAGTCTGTTTTATTGAACCCTATGCATCACTTACGTCAGCAGCTTTTTTCTCAGACAGTTCGAGTTTCTCCTGGGCGTCCTTCAGGGCCTCCGAGTACTTGTCCAGTTCATCTTCAGTTTGTTTGAGCTTTTTCTGCAAGCCGACCAGCTCATCATCCAGCTTTATGAGGGAGAGTGAGTAAACATAGCACAATTGAGCATAATTTAAGGGAATATCCCAAATGTCCATATAAAATCTTTCTGGTATGGTCAGTGTTGTTACACATAACAAGTAACTTAAGTTACTTAATCTTAAAGTTACTTAAAAATACTTTTTTAAAGTAACGAGTAAAGTAACTCATTACTTTTACATTTACAACAGTATATCTGAGTTACCTTTTCAAATAAGTAAAGATAAAACACTTTCTGCTATGATCAGTGTTGGGGTAACACATAACAAGTAACTTGAGTTACGTAATCCGATTACTTTTTTAAAGTAACGAGTAAAGTAACGCATTACTTTTACATTTACAACAAAATATCTGAGTTACTTTTTCAAATAAGTAAAGATAAAAATCTTTCTGGTATGGTCAGTGTTGGGGTAATGCGTTACAAGTAACTTAAGTTACGTAATCCGATTACTTTTTAAAAATAATGAGTAAAGTAACGCATTACTTTAACACTTACAACAAAATATCTGAATTACTTTTTCAAATAAGTAAAGCGAGTTACATTGTTTACTTATTTATTGACCTCTACTGTTATTAAAAAAACAAACATGAAAGCCCAGCCTAGGTGAGAAAAAGTTACATAACACATTACTTTCCATAAAAAGGACTCACTTAATCCAATTAGTTACTTTTTTAAGGGAGTAATGCAATATTGTAACGAGTTACTTTTAAAAGTATCATTCTTCAACACTAGATATAGTCATTTTAAGAATCTATCAACCTCTATAATATTATCCCTCATAATATTTTCAACTATTTTATCACAAAATAATGTGTACATTTTAAGAAATGAATAGATATCAAAAATGGATTTGGTCACCCACATTATATCATAGGCCAACTCTCTTAAGTGGACAGCAGAAAACTAATTTTAGTCTGAGGTAAGCTGTCATATGGCAGTAAGTGAGATAAACACTCACAAACACTTTGCTATCTATGGCTATCAGTTTGGCTGGGTTCTTGTGTTAAAGAGAGGATCTTTTAATCTACTGGGATTCCAGACAGCCTGACCTCTCTTGTCCATTTATAACCTTAGGTGTTCTGAATGCTGGAAGACATGGATTGATTAATAGCTAATATTCATTTAGTTAGCTATCTGTCTATTTACAGAGAGCAATATGATTTCCAAGTGTGTACACTTCAAACCAATTGGTCAATAAAATAAATATATTTTATATAATATAATTCACAATATTTTAGCCTACAGTTTATTATTTATGATTAATGTTAAATTATAAATAATGTACATTGTTACTTCAACTCATGTTAACATGCAAACATTTAATGTTAATAATTTATTGGAATATGCAAGCTTAATAAATAGCGTAAAAGTATTGTTCATTGTTAGGTTAGACTGTTACTAATTTTTTTGTAGGATTCCTACATAATTGTGCAAAATAAGTAGCCAGTACTGCGAAAGAACCCAGAATTGCAGCTCAAATGAATACTTGGTTTTCAAGTATACTGAGGTCTTGGCAAACGTCTCCTTGATTACAATCGTCAAGTTTCAGCCTTGACAGATGCCTATGACAGCACTTTTGTTAGGACCTTTTCATTGTAACATTTAACCAATCTGGATTCCTACCTGCATTTGTTGATTCTTACCTGCTTGCATTTCTCCTCTGCAGCTTTCTGTTCGGTCTCGGCCTGCTCTGCCCGGTCGATGGCGTTCTCCTTGTCCAGTTTGAGCATCTGCATCTTCTTCTTGATGGCCTCCATGATTGCAGGTTGATCTAGTGTCTGGGTCGAATATGAAATTCAAGGGAGCTACGAGCTACAAAGTGCAGTTCTCGGTCCTTCAGCCCAAAGTGTGGTCAGACTAATGGATGCGAGGAGATTTAGGAGAGGAGAAGAATGCAGCTGATGCTGCCTGCAACCAAGAGCTGCCAGCAATGCTGGATCGCTCTACATAACCCAACTGAAGTCTAACCCCCCCAACCCCCTCACCCCCACCCGTCTCCCTATCTAACCACTTGTGAGAAGGAATGGCCTGGACCAAACAGTCAGAAGCACTTCTCCTTATTTGGAGTGGTGCATATTGTTTTTTAAAAAAAGGACCAAGGGATGGAGAGGTGAGCAAATACTGTAGGCCAGGCCCTGCATCCAGATTTAACCCCATTAGTGTTAAACCGAGCTAACAAAATCTGTTCTACGAGCGTTTTGCGAACATTCCCATTAAGTTCTGAAAACATTATTTCTGAATGTTATCTGAACATTCAAAACGTCGAATTTTTACATATTAACACTCATTTTTGCACACATTATGGGAACATCATGAAACAAGAAGTAACATTTACCAGTAAGTAAGTTTCAGAAAAAACCTTCCATGAATGATTATACATAACGTGTGCTTTTTATGCTAACGTTTTGAGAACAATATTAAAAACCAGATAACTTTGAACGAACGTTCTATTAACGTTACTGTAGCAAATAACTTTTGACAGAACCTTGCCAGAATGTTTGCTAAAGCTCTGAAGTTCTTAGAACGTTAGTCCTTGTTAGGTGACATTCATCTAAATCGCCTTTACCAAGGCAAGTATCGATATTATAATTGCTAATATCTATGGTAATGCACTTTTCAAAACCCCTACCACTAAGCAGATGCAAAATATACCTCAAATTGTGCAGTTTGTTGAGGAGAGGAGCTATTATTTTTCTTGTTATGTGGCTCTCTGGAATCCTCGAATCTTATCGGTCAATCACAGCATTTGGAGGTCAGATATTCTTAATATTCACAGTCGTCCATGACAACGCTTATTAAAACCTCTCAACCAGAACAAAAACTGGAGATACTACCATAAAAAATGTATAAAAAAAACTGGTGCCATATTGTATCTCAGTTATCAGCTGTAGCCGGAAAAAAATCAGTAACAATCGGACCTAACAATGAGCAATACTTTTACGACATTTATTAATCTTGCTTATACACTTTTATTACTGTTAAATTATTCCAATGTTTATCTTGTTGCTAGGCTGATCATTTTGTAGATTCTATACTTTTTTCTTAGCGAAAGCTTTAAAATCATATACAGGTAAAAAAATTATAATAATTATACTGACCACTGATTATACATGATCCAGTAACATTTGTACTTTTAATCTGCCGCACAATAAAAAGGCCAAAAAAAACTCGGCTTATATTAGAGGGACTATTCAATGACCAGAATACAGAAACTTGAAGGTGGACTGTTTTGACTCATTTGCTACCCCATAGCAACACTCTAGAAACCACAGAAAATATACAGGTAAAACAAACAAATAAATAAATAAATATATCTTCAAAATCAAAGACTAAAAATACAAGTGTTAATCATACCTTCATTAGAAAGCAAAGAAAGTTGCTTTCTATTCCTTTCACTGCCTTGTTCAATCAAGTCTGACGTAAAGCAATTGCACACACTTGATTTAGAGTTGTTGAGTCCCAAAGTGCTAAATGGCGAAACCGTTGGATCTAAGTGTTTTGGCACTGAAAAATAGAGCTGAAGTGCAGAATGTAACACTCTTGTCCAACTGACTTTCTTAACAGTACACTTGCCCTTCCATTAGGCATTTTGTGAATTACAACAAAAAGTGTAGTTTAGTTTCTTCTAAATAGGGTCTATTTTCAGTCATAAGCTCTCATTTTACACATTTTTAAGCAAACGAATGCTTGAATCCCCACCACGCCAAAAACCACAACTTTAGCATCAAGGTGGTAAAACTGCGAGACATGTTTGGCAATGTACCTCAGACATACTCAACTGTCAAATGGATGATTCACTCTCCATAACACCTGGATGAACATTCTGAGAAGAGTGTCCAAAAACACCTGTGCTCCAGAGAAACAGCTCTCTGACGTCTGCTGCGTGTCATCATATGACGTCATAGCCATGCACAGATGTTTGACATCTGCATACCCACTCCGGTGTGCCCTGTCTTTGTTGGCCTCCCTTAGGCACTGTTGTAAGGAAAAGACGTAATGTGCTTTGGCGTTCATTCAACATTACTTACTCATGCCTGCCCCGCTGAGTTTTAAGGATGAAGGGAAGTATGAATGTGTGTCATATAATTGGGCAATGCCCCATCGTGGAAATAGTTTAACGGACTGGTACAACACAAAGTGTACTTTGTAAATTCAGCCAATGGACAAAAACATGCTATAGGGATTCATTTAATGCAGGTACGATGTTAAAAAGTGCCTAAATTTCTTAAAGCAATGTAGGTTCAATACAAGTTGATCTATTTGGCAATAATAATAATAAAATCTAGTTCCTCAGTCAAAAAAAATTATTGACATCGATTTTTCCTTACAAAATCGTTAATTGTTTGAGCTCCGAAGCTGTAAAAAATGTTTAAGTCTTGTGGCTATTCTGTATCTTACCTTCACTTGTGTTGCCCAGACATTACTCTCTTTTTTTCTGTGGTAATTAACATGCCACAAATGCTATCGATAGATATTAACATTCCTTTAAACTAAGGGTACTTTTACACAACAATGATGTACTAAAAACGGTAACGTTTTTTCTTTGTACAGATGACAATGTTATCAAAATGATCCCGTTCACACGGATCCACAAAAACGACAAAAAACGCTGTATTATACATGCCATAGTTGGCGATGTCAGGTTGTAAAGAAAGACTAGCACTCGCGCCAAACGCGCATGTCTATAAACTGAACACATAATACGCATGTGCATTCACAAATTCACGTTTTTGTAGTTTACACAGAGGCGATAATGGTATAGTTTTCAAAAACTTGCGCTTTGAACACCGTTTTCAAAAGTTTACGTTTTCAAAACGCCGTTGTTGTGAAAATGAACAGTCAAACCAATAACAATAGATTTTCAACAATTATCATAGAATATAGCATGACAAAGTATTATGCACAAAGTCCACTTTTTTTTTAACAAGTAGCCTACTACTATTTGGCCGCTATGGGCATAGTTATAATTATGAAAGTCGCTAACACTAAGATGGTGTTCCACGACATCATTTTGACATTAAAGGCCCGTTTACACCAAGAACAATAATAATAGGCTAACTAACTAATGTCCACATCAACACACAATGACATTCTGTGAAACCACTCGCAGTTTTGTTGTCTGCTCCTCTAAATCCTTGAACTTTTTAAAGAAGGATGGATTCTGATTATGTCAATGTTTTTATCGTTCATCAGTTGGAAAAACCTGTGTCGTTATAGTTGTTGTGCGGACTCTGCTATTCTTATAAATTTAGAACGATTTTAAAAACTAATTCTTTATTGTTTTCGTTATAGGTATCGTCCTTGGTGTGAACGGGCCTTTAATCAGTTGTATGCCAAAATGGGCACTCTTGTGCCCCTTATGTAGCTTTAGTTCTAATTTTGTTAGCCAAATACATTTCCTTAGCTTTACTATAGTTTAACTTCTTCACTTTACAAACAGCTTATCAAGCTTCAGTTGTAAAGTAGCTTCAACAATAACATGCACATATGCTGAACTCACTCAACCCCAAACACGCACACAGCGAGACATTTATTTTACCTCCCCTCTGAACTGTCGATGTATATGTTGAGTGCATACTTTTAAGTGCAGAATGCTCTGTATTGTGGGAAGTGCAGGGATTCAGCTGTAGATAAGACCAGAGGAGATGACTGAGGGAGTAATTGCGAGTGAGAGAGAAACAGACAGAATTTGACAGGCCACTCCCACAGGAAACCGTAGCTAAGCTCAGCATGACCTTTTATGGTAAAAATTCCCCAAACCGCTGGCTGCCTGTCTTGGGAATATAGCGGTTATAAGATATTCGGTTTAAAGAAACAAGAGCACAGAAAGCACAGCCACAAGCCTGATTTTAACAGAAGCAAAGAGACAGATAAACAAAAACATTCACCTATAGTAAATAGTTCTGACTTCCTGGAATGAAAATGTGATTAAAACGTAACAGGATAAGCAGCAGGAAACAAGCTAGCTTTAATACAACAACACAGCTACACTGCTACCTGTGGTTTAATCCCATTACTTGGTCTCCTGCTTTACAAATTACCTAGGTTAAGTATTGTTAATTATAATGAACTAACTTAACATCAAGGTTTAGCCTCAAACTTGCTAGTTCACATCAATAAAACACTAGCTCATTTTAAACGCTGTTTGTGATGAAGTCTGTATTGAAAAGTTGTTATTAACCCTCTACTGGACGCATTATTATGCAATCATGGAAACAATTGTTACAGTGTTTTTTATATATAAAATAGACTCAAATTAACATTTCTTTTTTTTTTGTCTTTTTTTTTTTGTGTGTGTGTGGGGGGGGGGGGGGGGTACTTTTGGGTGCGTTGCCATATGGCAAGTTGCAACATTGTGCGACAATGGAACAGCCTGATGCGTTTTCTCCCAAAATGACATGAAATTCATAGATGATTACAGACCTGTCTTTTAGAAATGAAATTGTTTCTATTATTTAAAATGTTTTCAAGAGCTTTGTGTACAAAATATGAAACTAATTTTCAAAGTATTATTTCAACAACATTTACAAAACATCTGACGCAAACTCATAAGAACTGTTCAAGTGAAACTACTCGATGTGAAACGCCTTAAAGCAGTTGTTCTCTCCGTTAAAGGTGGGGTATGTGATTTTCTTTTTTGACCATTTTTTCAAAATCACTTGAAATCCTATTCCTAACCCACTTACAGCCACTGAGTTAGAAGCACTGACATGAAAATTAAAAAATGTAATCATCTGTGGAACGGGCAGGACTCGAAAAACTCCAGCCAATCATTTCCAAGACCACCTAGAATCATTGGACAGTAAGTGCGTCAATCAAACGGTCGTACCATACCCCCCTCCCCCATGCCCCTCTTCGAATGGGTAGAGTCAGGGCCAGCGTTGGAGGAAAGAAGGTAGGACCTTTTGAGTTGTGTATTTTCAAAATCTGCCGGCCA